ATCGGCCGACTCAGTTAATGAACGTCGATTTCTGCATCCAGACCATGAAGACATTTACGAGCTGGGCCTGAAATGGACCCCGGCCCCCCCCGCCGTGACGGCCACCAGCCTGAAGTCACCCCATGCACTGTGACCCTGAGCCCGGCCCGTCGAGCTCACTCCATGTAGGATGGATGGTCCAGCTCTGCCCTGGGCACCTTGTCCAGAAGGATCCGGGGAGAGACAGGGTCCAAAGCTTTGCTAAAATTAAAAAAATCGTCTGCTGGCTCACTCAGTCCCCCTCGCTGGGAGAGCTCATCACATGAGGGAATGGAGCTGCTTATCAGCTGGTTGGACAGGACTTTGCCCTCTGCCCAGAGAGGCTGTGGCAGCCCTGTCCTTGGAAGTGTCCAAGGCCAGGTCGGATGGGGCTTGGAGCAACCTGGGCTAGTGGAAGGTGTCCCTGCCCATGGCAGGAGGTGGGACTGGGTGACCTTTAAGGTCCCTCCAACCCAAAGCATTCTGAGATTCTATGAACCTGTTCTGGGAAATGTTACCACCCACAGCTGTCCCATTTCTCCCAAAAGAAAGTTCTGTAGTTCTGAGGTTGCTTTGGCCAGATAACGATTGCCCAGTCCATTAATTCAGTGATGCTTCTTTCCTGTCGTTATGATGTGGATACATTCATAATATTTGGGAATTGGTGAGGTGAGGACACCAATACATTCCCACCAATCCATATGGGAATGTCTGTTCGTTGCCATGCCTGTGCCCTGGGAATGTCACTGTCCACTAAAGACCCTCTAAAACTCATGTTTCTGTTTGGTTGAGTTTTTTTTCTTTCTTTCAAAGTGAGTGAAATTAAATAACTTTGACTGCTGTAAATGTTGTTTCTTCCACTGGAAATGGCAGGAGGTGTTTATTTGCTTCTGCCTGTCCTCGGAGAGTGGAAAAATGGATATGTGAAGTTGTGCCAGCCCACACTTATTTGTGCTGGCCTCCTGCAGGGACCCCGAGCAGCACTTTGGATACCCTGAGTAAATCCTTCTCAGCTGGATCTCGTAGTGTGCAGCAGTTGCTCATACAGCAAAAACAGGGGGTGAAGCAGCTGAGAGTCTTGTAAGATCCAGAACTTTTCTCCAGTGTCTGTGCTAGGGTTACTGAGGGTTTTTTTCAGAAGTGGAGATCTGTTGGGAAAGGTTCAGCCAGTATTGAAGGAGCCTGTGTGTCCCATCTGTTTCCATCCCCTCTGGCTGGGGTTAGAGTGAGGGACCACTTTGTAATAAAATTTGAAAAATTTCTTCTGACAGCAGCACTGGGACTGTCCCTGTGCCCAGTTCAGGTGCCGCCAGGTGAGACAGGTGTCTCCTACCACTATCTAGAGTGATTTACAGGCAGTGAATCATGGAATCATGATTCTCTGATTCTGTGACTGTCCCAGGACCCAAAGCTGGAGTCACCTCTCACCTCTCTCACCACTTAAGCTGTATTTGTAGTGTTTTCTCTGAGTAAAGTTAGTCAATGTCAATTCATATTTAGGTGGAGTTTGAGCAACTTTAGTCGCACATGTGAAGCATGTGCAGCTTTTGCTTCACTAGCATGTGTGAGGGCATAAACAATAATATGTATTTTGGAGTTAATGAAGGGAAATTCAGCTCTCAGTGGGTCATTCATAGAATCACAGAATCATGGAACCATAGAATGGTTTGGGTGGGAAGGGAGCTTAACAGCCATCCAGTCCCTCCCCCTGCCATGGGCAGGGACACCTTCCACTAGCCCAGGTTGCTCCAAGACCCATCCAACCTGGCCTGGGACACTTCTGGGGATGGGGCAGCCACAGCTTCTCTGGGCAACCTGTGCCAGGGACTCACCATCCTCACAGCCAGGAATTCCTTCCCAATATCCCATCTAAGCCTGCCCTCTGGCAGTGGGAATCCATTCCCTCTTGTCCTGTCACTCCAGCCCTTGTTCAAAGAAGGGAAGGCTCTGAGAAGATCTCAGAACCCCTTCCAGTGCCTAAAGGGGCTCCAAGAGAGCTGGAGAGGGACTATGGACAAGGGCAGGTGATTTGATGATTGTAAGATCTGTGTCTTAGAAGAAACCCCAGTAATCAATCAAAGACCCATTTGATTTTCTCATACAGGGGCTGAGACATCAGGACAAGAGACAGCGCTGGACATGACATGAGGAATTGCCAGATGTGCAGGTACCAGGGTGAGAAGCTGAGAAAAGCTCAAATAGGGCTGGAGGAGTGGCTGGATTCCATGGGAGTTCAGGGGAAACCCCGTGAGGGACGGAGGAGGGATGCTGCAGATAACTGGGTGCTGGGGACCTTGTGGGGCAGAATAGGACAACAGTTCTCAGGTCACCATATCAGTGACACAATGGAAAGGCAGGTGAGCAGGGAACCCAACTGGAAGGACTAGATTTAGATATGAATGAGCAAAACTGGGACCAAAGGGGAGGATGTAATTAATACCAGTTGTTTCTCTTGGGGGGGGGAATAGTGAAGTTACAGTCAATGTCATATTTATGTCATACAGTCAATTCATATTTAGGTGCAGCTGCCAGAGCAGGAGTGCAATATGGGGTTGCAATAGAGCTCCAAATTTACCCTCATTGCAGCTGTTTTGTATGGAATATGGAATTAGTTTCTGCATGGAGAGATGTGATTAGGACAGGGATGATGTGCTGCTGGAGATGCTGGAGACAAACTCCATGGAATGGACAGTGAGTTTGGAGTCATTTAATCTGTATATAGTGAGAAGATGTCACAATATTACTGATATGGAGAAGACCACTGGGATGGCCAGAAAAGGAACCTCCATGAGCCTGCCTTCCCAGCAGATAAGATACAGATGCCAATTATCTGAGCACTTATTTGTAGCCTGCTTTCACTTCCGAGTGAAATAGGCTGATTTCAGTAACGCTTTAATTACTCCCTTTGGTACAAGGTGTGAAAGCAGGTTGTGCCTTGGTCACCTCATGGGGTAAAAGGAAAAGCAGAGGAAAACTCAAAGGAGGGGAATGAGGTTGGGGTGGGGGCAGGTGGTGTCTGGCTGCAGAAAACAAGGAATCGTCCCTTTATGGTGGGTAGGGGATATTTACTTTGTCCTTACAGAAAGGGCTGTGGGATGCTGGGTCTCCATAAGTCAGGAAGGCTCTCTGGGGGCTGGTACAGACTTTGCAACAGGCTTTAGTGTGTGTTTTGGTTTAGGTGTGTGGTTCATTTTTCATAGCAGGACAGTACCTGCTCTGTGTCCAGGTGCAGTCAGCTATGGGCTGTTCCCATCTGGATAAGCTCTTTCCTGCGGTGTCAAGACATGATTCAGTAGGACACATGAACCTGGAGGCCAGTGAGGTGGCTTTGCCCAAGGCCCTAATAAGATGGGCAAACCAAACTGCCGTGGTGATGGCTGTGGCGTGGGGGGGATCCTGCACTACTCTGGCTTTGAGGTCTTTCATGACGTCACTAATGGTGACTGTAAGCACAGATTCAACCAAAACCACACGTACCAGCAGCAGAAGTGGCACTGAATTACAAGCACAGCTTTATCTCCTCCAGCCATTTGTTTCCAGAAGCAGCTGGTGGCAGGAGGACAAGGCTGGAAACCAGCGTTCTCCACCCTCCGGTTATCCCAGGTATTCCAAGGGGCAGGTTCCCCAGAGATGACTCTACACAGCTAAATTTGTGGTTTGCAGCTTCCATGACAGCCCCTTCTCTCTGTCAGCAGACAGTCCTTAAAGAGAATCCTATTGGTATTCCAGACATCTGCCTGCTGTTATATATGGAGGGAAATGCAGGGAAGGAGCACGGGAACCCCTCACCTTGTGCACCAATACCAGGATTTCAGGATTGACTCCTGAAACCAAGAAAACTTGCATTTAGCAGGACCTGAGGGGCAGGCTATGCAGGTTCACACCTAGAGCTGTGTCCTGATCCGACATTCCCTTTCCCTCCAACTCCCAGAGCACGTCTGTGAGTCACTGCTGCTACACAAGACATTCAGCTGTAAGAGTCTGTCTTGTAAATCTTCCACCCAGCCAGTTGTGCTCTGTCTCTGTGCAACCTTGAAGATCTTTGCATCCTCCCTGTATATTTAACCGTGTTATTTCTATTCCTATTTATAACAAAATCATAGAATCGTTGCATGGTTGGGACCTTAAAGACCACCTAGTTCCAATCCTACGTGAATAATTCCTAAATAAATATCCCTAAATAAAAACCCTAAAAAAGTTATCTCCACTGATCAAGTTCCTGTGTTTACTTTTGTCTGATGGGGTAACTACTGCCCATGTGCTACTGGGGTTCAGTTGTGTAAATTATATGGACAGGGAGATGATAAACCTGGTAGTAAACTTGGCCCAAGGAAACTAAATGTGGAGAAAACAGATACTTTAAACCCGGGAAAGGACCCGTGTATTGAGCCTGTGTAAGGCTGCACTTCAGATCCTGAACCCCCCATGCTGACCTAGGACAAGGCTGTTCCTGAGGTGCCACGGGGCGCAGCCAAGGCCCCTTCTCCAGCTGTACCTGTTGCACAGCTGGGAGGATGAGGCTGAGATCTGGCCCTACCCTGGCTCTAGGAAAAGGAATTCCACCCTCTCCCTGCTGAGGCTTCACCTCTTTCCCTGGGCTGGCACAGCATGGTGCCCATCCACTAAGCCAGACCAAGGAAAACCTGTTTGGGCTACAGGAAATGGGGTCAGTTTTTACCAGTCAAACTATATTTTAAAAACTTAATAATGTAAACAAAATAGTGTTGGAGTTTTTTTTTAACAGAGTCAAGTGAGGAAAGCCAAGAGGCTGAAGATCTTGCTGGTATCCTGCTGGTATCACTGTGTTTCATATTGGATTTTTTCCCATCCCTGAATTTTGATATTCTCACAACTGGCATTGATTTGGGCGAGCATTAATTTCTGCTCCCAAAAGCAGGAAAATCAGAAGCATTTTTGCACCACCAAAGTGTTGGTACCAAAATTGCAGACTTCACACAGAGCAAACCACAGTGACTAAAGGCTCTAAAATGTAAAGTAAACTTTATTATCCTTGAACCACAAAATAGATTTCTTTGGTTGTACAAATTTCACTAGTTACAGTCTTGATGCGCTAATTTTCCCTTGGAGTCTCTCGGGAGAGAACGGGAAAGAACCCAGAGCCTGGCACCAGGTACCGCACAGGGAAAGGAGAGAAGAATCACAAGTTAGTCACCAAAACCCAGCCAGGATTGTTTCCAAAACTGCTGTTGTTAAAAAGCAAATGCTAAAATTAGATTTAAAAAGGAAAAGCTCAAATTGCTGATGATGGAAGCAGCCATGGCTGCAGTGAGAGATTATCAGAGTTCCCCCTTCACAGATCTGTAAAATCAAAGCATACGGTGCCAGTTAAAACGATCCACTGGATTTTGGCATGAAGGGAGAGGCTCAACAAAAAAACTGCATCCAGTTCTTTCCTTCAGCAAATGTACAAGCAGATGTGCCTGTCGCTGCCCAGCCACTGTCAGGCTCAAGGTCCAACCCTGGTCTTGCTGGGGAGTCAGAGAGCACCAATGGATGGGGAATGGGATCGGGCCAAGCTCGGACCTTCCTCCCAGTTAGAGGCAGTGAAAAAAAAAAAGAAAAGGGCTGTTTCCCCTCAGTAGTGGCAGCAGAGGTTGATGGCAGAGCTGGGAGCAGCAGCTGTGACCTCCACATCTGCAGAGCTCATGTGATACAGAACCTGCTCGCAGCCCTCGTTCCACATGTGGAAACCAGAACTCACACCCAGGACTCGCACCCCCGCTCATTTTTCATTTTCCTTTTTCCCTCTTGCATGGGCAAACATTCATTGTCCCTGTTCTCCACGGAAAGGGGCCTGAAGCCAACAAGCTGGCAAAGTGGAACTGTGTAGTTATTGCAAGGCACAGGCCAGCCCCGTCCTGCTCCGTGGTGCTCCTGGTGCTCCCTGCCAGCCCCATGCCAGGCACCCTGTGACGCTCCACTCCACCTCGCGGCCAGCCATGGACACTGTGGACTCCCCACCAGATTTCCTACCTGTGAGACCCCGTAATTCCCAACTTGACCCCAGCAACGCCACGTCCTACCCATTCCCAGTTTCTGAATCCTACCCACTAAGGTACTGCTGTCACACCTCCCACCTCTGCCACCGTGTCCTACCCCAACTATCCTGCTCCCCATTGCTGTCACACCCCCCCTAAACCCCTGCTACAGCTGTTGGCTCCGTCCCATTCCTGCCCCAGTCCACCAGTTCAGCCCCAGTGCTACAGAAGACAGAGCCTGGCCTCCTCTGACACTTGTGTGCTCGTGGAGCTGCTCACACCACGTGTGACACACAGCGACGTGTCCATCCAGGGAAGGACCTGTCCCCAGGACTGCACAGAGTCCCAGCAGAAGCAGCGTCCTACCAGGACAGAGGCAGGTGGCACAGAGCTGGCCCAGGCTTTGGCATGTTCCTTGAGCACAGAGTGTCAGTGGCAGAGGGAGGCACTTTGCTGGAATTCTGCAGGTTTTTTTTCCTTTGTATTTCCTTTTTTTTTTGCCTCCAAGCTTCCCATTCCCACACGGTCCCAAAGGGAAGTGAGGTGACACAGTGCAGGAGGTGGGAGGAGATGCTTTTTGGCAAAAAACTGAAAATTAAACAGGAGTAAAGGCAGGCTGGACCTTCCTCCTGATTCCCACCAGAGGAAAAGCTCCTTTTAACCACTACAAAAACCAAGTTGAGGCAGTAACAGCTGGAGCCCAACACACTCTCACACTCCTACATTCTCCCTGTCCTACCCTTCCCCACACACAATATTTACAGGCTAACGAGCTGCCCACTGTCCTGCCCACCCCTCCTCTCCATCTGCCAGCAGTCAGTCCGGTGTTGCCCCGGTTTCGGGACGTGCCCCAGTGCGCTGTCGGGTGAGAAACGAGGGTGGTTCACAGCCTCGGAGGAGTCAGTTGGCCACAGAGCTCCCGGGGTGCTCCGGTCCCATCCAGTCTGGAGGCGGCAGGGTGGCAGCCCGGTGCTGTCTCTGGAGCACGGGAAGCTCGGAAGGGCTGTGCCGGGCTCGTCCATCGCCCGGGTGTGTCGGGTCACCTACGTGGGGACAGCGGTCTCCAAACTGCGCCGGCTGTGTCGGAGCTTGCGCTTGCTGCTGTACAGGGCCATGTCCTCCAGGGCTGAGGGAGTTGGTGCTGATGGATCCCGTGTTCCTAACGTGTCCTCTTCCTCTGGCTGCCCATCCTGCTCCCGGGGAACTGCAAAGACAAGAGATGTTTAGGTTTGAAGAGAAAGCATGGGGTTAAAATAGATAAGATATTGGGAAGGAATCCTTCCCTGTGAGGGTGGGGAGGCCCTGGCACAGGTTGCCCAGAGAAGCTGTGGCTGCCCCACCCCTGGAAGTGTCCAAGGCCAGGTTGGACAGGGCTTGGAGCAACCTGGGCTAGTGAAAGGTGTCTCAGCTCAGGGAAGGGGGTGGGACTGGGTGATCTGTAAAGTCCTTTCCCAACCAGACCATCCTGTGGTTCTGTCAGTGCTCAGCTGGCACAGTTATTGCAGATGTTTAGGGTATCACAGGATCACAGACTGCTTTGGGTGGGAAGGGACCTTAAAGCTCATCTCATTCTACCCACTGCCACGGGCAGGGACACCTTCCACTAGACCAGGCTGCTCCACATCCCATCCAGCCTAGCCTTGGGCACTTCCAGGGAGTGTTCCAGGGTTATTTCCAGGTGCTAGATTCGGGACAGCACTGACATCTCAGTGACTCACAGTAACCTCGTGCCCAGAACTTTCTGGTATAGGTCATGTAGTGACCACTGTGGATCCTGGGAAGAAAGTCCCATGAGTAAGAAGACACCTGCCTCTAACACCCGCCATTCACTGGAAGATGACTGGAAGAGTCAAGCCTTAGGAAAAATTGAGTGTCCTGAAAGGCTTCTGCTGTCCAGACCATGGAGCTGCCCCGACCCAGGTCTGCAGGGGGTGAGTGAGTCCCTCTGTCAGTGAGGGGGAGGAGCATCTTTAGTCACAGACTGGCCCAGATGGTCAGGAGGGCTTTAAACTTACTGGCGTCACAGAGATATGGTGGGATGGTTCCTGTGACTGGAGCACTGGAGGCTCTTAGGGACAGACAGGCAGGGGAGATGAAGTGGGGGTCACACTCTATGTCAGTGCCCAGGTGGATGCTGGAACTGCACCTGGTGAGGGGTGAGAAGCCAACCAGAGCTCATGGGTCAGGATTGAAGGGACAGGTGACATTCCTGACCAAGAAGACTGAGTGGATGAGGCCTCCATAGACAGATGGGAGCAGCCTCATGTTAACAAGCCCTGGTCCTTATGGGGAACTTCAACTACCCCAATATCTGCTGGAGGGACAACCCAGCAGGGCACAGACAATCCATGAGCTTCAAGTGCAAATGGGCTCCTGGGAAGCCTCTCTAAAGCCTTTGGATGCAGCAGAGAACTTTAAATAGAGAAATCCACGAAGATATATCAGATAAAAGGCTCAGTCTGCTGAGCTGTGCCCAGTGTCTGACCCTCTGCTCCAGAGCCAGGCCAGTCAGTGGGCAGCCCTTCCTCTTTGTCCTGGCACTCCAGGCCCATGTCCAAAGTCCCTCTCCAGCTCTCTTGGGTCCCCTTTACGCACTGGAAGAGGCTCTAAGGTCTCCTCAGAGCCTTCTCTTCTCCACAGTGACCACTTCCAGTTCTCCCAGCCTGTCCAACCCCTTGACAGGACACTGGGGTTGGGAAGCAGGTGACTGATTCCCAGACAAGACAAACAGATATAAAAGGAAGTCATGGGCACATGCAGGAAAAATCCAGCCTGGGTGGGTGGGTGGAGAAGAAAATCCTGTGGCTTAGAGGGAAGTCAGTTCTTTCAGACCCCCCAAGGCTGGAACTGGCCAAAAGAACCCCCAAACATGCAGGTTTAGTGATCCCCACGCAGCACACTGAGCTTTAAAAACCCTTGGATTGTTCCCCGGCAAAGCTCTACTGAAAACAAGCTGCCATGGGGCAGCTTTGGTGGGCAAATAAGTGGTGAAACCATGGGAAAAGGGCAGGAAGGGGCTACCTGATACCACAACACCCAGCAGCCAGGACCCTACCAGAGTCAGTATCTGGCAATTAATGAGGAGGAGAAGGAGTGATGAAGGCTGTGCTGGGAGAAACTTGTGATGCCACCAAGCTGTATCAGGGAGTCAAATGAAGCTCAGCTATAAATAAAAAAGTGCATCATGATCCATGGAGTTCAGGGGGAAATGATGTGGAAGGGGAAATTTGCTGCAAATGTGAATAGATTCAGGAAAGAAAGAACTCTAAAGTCAAAGCCTCTGGCTTAGAAAGTGCAAACCCACCGATCACTGCAGCCTGGAGCAGGTCTGGAAAGAACCACTTCCTGCTTTTCTTCTTTTATGTCCTTTTCTGGCATTCCCAGTGGCTCCCACTGGACCCCAGATCTGCTACAGGATCAGGCAGAGCCTTGTGCTGACTCAGTAAGTTCAGTTTTACAGTACTGGATGATGTTTAAACTCAATAAAAGGAATAGAATCCTGACTGCATAAAAAAACGCACTATCCTTAAATGAGATGATGGTTCTCTAGGCACTGGGAGAGCTTTCTGTAGACACTGGCAAAGTTTAAGACTTGCTATGAGTCAAAAAGCCATAATTCCATGATCAAGAACAATTCTGATTTATGTTGGCTGGGATGCTGCACTGCCTAGAAGAGTGAGATGGGGTGGGGAGATTTAAAAAAAACCAGGAGAGCTTTGTCCCATCCCAAGAGTTTACTTGCATCCTCACCTGCCATCCTTGCCAGCTGAGTTGGGAAAACTTGCATTTGTTTGGTGCCTCACACATATCACAGGTGACTTAAATATTACTTAAGGACTAAGGACCAGGTTAAAAAACTCTCAATGAGCACCATACTCTTTTCTTCCTGGCTTTCACCCTATTTGAGGGCCCAACAGAGCAGTGTCAGGCAACAGCGAGGTCTGAAGGCCCTGAGCAATGCCTGGTATTTTCCAAACCTACCATGAGCTCCCAGTTCCCTGCACTGACTGAATGGACAACCTCAAGAGAATAATCCAGGGCTGAGAGGATGACTCTGAGGGATGGAGAACAGCTGCTGTTCTCAGGAAAGTAAGTTTTTGTTAAGTCCTGCAGCAGAACCTTCTTCTGGAAACAGCCCAGCCATAGGTCAGCTGTCCAGGGTGCAGCCTGTACTCAGAAGGAATTGTCAAGATAGAAGAAACTGTTTCTTGTGCCAAATAAAGGGGGAAAATCTGCAAAACAGGTAGAAGCAAAACTGTTGGAGAAAGAGGAGTGCTCCTACGGAGCAGGCAGGCTCTGCTGAGCTCCACAGGGCTGCTACAGCCCCTGGAATGAATCGGGGGACAGTCTGACCTGTCCTTACAGCTGAGGACAGACAGACACACCCCAGCTGGACAGCCTGCAGATACAGCTGCAGAGCTTTAATTCCTGCTGACTGAGGTGACTATGCCACAGACCCACAGGTGTAACGTGGAGCCACCGAGGTACTGGAGCAGCAAGCACTCCAAGTCTGCACCAGGACAGATTTACCTCCATGATTCCCTCTCCAGCAGAAGGGGCACAAGGCAGCCCCTGAACAATGGACATCATTCACCTCCAGCAGGTGACAGAGCCCAAAACTTCCCTGCCACATCCTACTACCACTCTACTCCAGGACACAAATCTGGAGAAAACCAGGCATGCTTGTTACACACCATGCTGGGCAAATTAGTCATCACTAAAGCACAATGCAAATATCCTACCCAAAATGAATGTGGTGAGTGTGGAGTTTTCATTCTAGAACAGACAAAACAGGACATTGTGTCAAGCAGAAGAAAGTGAAGTCTTCTGGGTGGTCCCACAAGCAAAGGGGAACCCTCTAGAACCGTGGTGGGGAGCGAGTAGTACAGAGACAACTCCTCTGGCCATGGGCTTACCTGAATTATTTCGGTCCTCGACGTATCTGAGGTCATCAGCTGCATCAGGCGACTGGAAGAGAACAGCAAACGTGACCACCCGCCCCTGTAACACCTCTGCCAGGTAATTCCCCACCTCCAGCCTTCCAACACCCTATGGAGAACCTGCTGCCCACAGAGGTGCTGGTGCTGCCAAAGCTGGGCACGGCCCTCAGAGAGGGCTCCTGATTCCAAATGAACCCCTTGTGCTCCTGATTCCAAATGAACCCCTTTTGTGCTCCTGATTCCAAATGAACCCTGCTGCCTGACCTGTGGGTAGGGAGAAGAGGGAGTGACACAGAAGACAGAAAATATAAAGAACGGACAAAAAGGCTTTAAGCTGAAAGAGGGGAGATTTATATTGGATATGAGGGAGAAATCCTTCCCTGTGAGGGTGGAGAGGCCCTGGCACAGGTTGCCCAGAGAAGCTGTGGCTGCCCCAGAAGTGTTCCAGGCCAGATTGGACAGGGCTTGGAGCAGCCTGGGCTAATGTAAGGTGTCCCTGCCTATGGCAGGGGGGTGGAATGAGAAGAGCTTTAAAGTCCCTCCAAACCCAAAACATTCTGGGATTCTGTGAACTCCTGCACTGCTGAGAGAGGCCCACAGGCACTGTTTGAGGATTTGGAGGTGCAGCCTCCTTTGGAGGCACCTTCTCAGCTGTGTGAAGACCCACTGTTGCACTTGGGGTAATTCATGTGGTCTGGAGCTGCCACAGGGTTCGAGCAGCCAGTCCTCCGACTTGCCTGGTACAGAACCTGGAGAAGGGCACATCCCAAAGGAAGGAACTCTGAGGAAAAGATGAGTGTCTTCCAAGGGCTGAGCAATACCACCAGAGAGAGGTGCCAGTGAAGAACAGACATCAAATCATGTAAAACTGCCTGAGAATTCTCAAATCACAGCCCTGCTGGAGCCAGCCTGACTTTGGAACAACAATCTTTGTGCCCCACGGCAAGCTGAAGCCCAAGTGGCAGTGCTTGCTGGCTCTCCACACACAAGTATCTGCTTCACTGTCTTTATATAAAGCTAAAAACCACCTAAAAACATTTAGACGCAGGGTATCTGCTCAAATCAGGTGCCACAAATGCCATCAGTGACTGACTGACACAGGCAATTATAGCTTCCAGCACTGGGCGAGTGGTTCCAGCTGGGATTCTGTGACAAAGGAGCTTAAATGAGCTCATTTTAGGAAGGAGAAGCACCTTGCCTTGGTGCTCACCCTTGGAACTGGGTGTTCCCTCCACAGCTCACTGACAGCAGAACATGAGGACTGACACCTTGCTGCTTCCTGGGCAGGATGCCAGACACATCCAGCTGGAATTTCACATCTGCTCCAATTTGCCTTCTGGTGGCAATAATTTTATAGCTTTTTCTTCCCTTTTAGTTCTCACTTTTCACTTAAAAATATTTCAGGATCCATTCAGGTGAAGATGCAGCTGCTTTATATCTGCAAAGCTTTTGTCATTCATTTTAAAACCATCTAGACCAACTTTTTTCCAATTCCACTTGTCTGAAGCCTCCAATAAACCCTCAGATTTTACCAAGGCTGGTGTCACTACCCCCACACAGGCAGGGCCTCTGCAAGGGGTTTCTCCAAAGCCCTCAGACTCAACTCTTCCATCAAACCAAGCCCTAACCAATCTAAAGGTGGCTCAGCATGCAGTTTATACCTGGATTTCGTAAACAGGTTTGGAGGAAGGAATAGCAGCAAATTCCCGGTAGTCAAACTTCTTTTCAGACATGGACTAGAAGGGACAGCAGAAGGGAAGAAACAGAGAAGAAAGTAAGGGGAGAGAAATGAAGGGAGAAGCAGCAGCAAGCTGAGCAATCTATGCAGAGATCACAGCAGAAGCAGAAGGATATCCTCGGGGAGAGCCAGGAGCGCCTGGGTAGAGCCTGGAACATGGGGGATCCCTGGGACACTGCCTTTGGAGCTGTTCCATTGTCAGGACAGGGGTTCCAAGTCACAGAGGAAACATCACATGCTCCAGTGAAATGCTCATGCACATCAAGTCAGGTAGGAAACCTGTTTTCATTGGGAAATTCATGGTAGAATTCCTGAGAGCTGGAGCACAGTCAGGGTTCCAATCCAGGGCTAGATTATGGTGTGATCTGGCAGGACCAGGTCCCCTCTGTGCAGCTGCTCCCACGCTTTCCCTGGTCTGTCTCACTGATTCTGACAGTTCTGTGCAACAACGTCCCCTGGCATTTACACAGGGTTAGGAAAAGGAAAATGCTAATTGCAGTTGCAGGTCTGTAAGGTCTGGTTTATGGTGTTGAAGAAACACGGGGCAAAGTCCCTGAAGTGAAAGGCTTTCTGGACCTGGGAAAGTAGTTCTGAACATGGGGAAAGGCCTTCTGAAAAGGGGAAAAGCTTTTGGACCGTGGTGAAAGGCTTTCTGAAACCAAGGAAGGGCTTTCTGAGCATGAGGAAAGGCTTTCTGAACCCAGGGAAAGGCTTTCTGACTATGGTGAAAAGCTTTCTGAACATGGAGGTGAAGAACCAAGGAACAGATGACATAATACAGTGGGGAAAGAGAAAGCAGATGTTACATGGGAGCTGCAACAAAGGCGGTGCCTCTAGCCAGGGGTACAGCTCCACCCTCCACCCTCCTCAGCATTCCTTGTACCATGCAGGACTCAAGTGGGAACCCACAGCCCAAGGCACAGCCCACACTCAGCCGAATAATCAGGAAATCCCAGGATTTAGGTAAGGAGAGGTGACAAAAGCAAGCAGAAGGATGTCATACCAGCCTTCCCGGGGAAGTGACGTTCCTGGGGCTGCAATCTGCAAGAGGTGACAGAAAAGCACAGTTAGTGACCAGCTGTGTGACATCCAACCCCCCCCGCCGAGCCTGCTCCTTCCACTCAGCAGCATTTCAGTGTGGTGAGACCACACTCAGGGCAGGCCCTGCCTTCTGCCTTCCCAACAAACACCTCTTCCCTGCTTGTTCAGAAAGTCAGGATGCTGACTGTGTTTCCGCCCTGGTTCCCTGGAACCTCACCTCTGCCTCAGGTGCTCTCATATGTTCTACAGCTCAGGCCCATTCCCTATGCTGAGAGACATCACGTGCCCCCAAGGACCTTCCAACCAGGCTGAAGGAGGGAACTGCTTCCCACAGCTCTGCTCCTGAGCAGGTTAAGCTCAAGGAGCGCTGCCTGTTTCCTTTGGAGGCACTGGCAGCTCTACAGTACCTTCCAGCGGCGTTGGGGACGGCGTCGGAGCGGGCGACGGTGACTCTGCCAGCTGCTCCAGTGTGCTGCGTTTCTTCCCCTCCTTGGACTTGGCAATAACCATTTGGGCTTTAAGAGCGTCCTGTTCCAGTGATTTCATCCTGCCTCAGGAAGGGGGGGGAGTGAGAAAAAACCATCAGCCATTGCCCCCTCGGTGGGGGACCACGCGCCGTCTGCACCCAGGAGCCGGCCCGAGCCCACGGGCTGAGCGCAGACGGGCGGAACGAAGCCCCCGAGGGTCCCCGAGGCAGGGCAGGAGGACAGCTGGGCTGGCTGCCATCCCAAAACACACGTTATCCCATGTGTCAAACAGACAGAGCATGAAGCTATGCATCAAGGCACTGAGAAGCTGCAGGCAGTCCCAGAGGTGCCACATGATGGGACGGTGACCTGAGCTGGGGACAGAACTGCAGGGGTCACACAGGTAGGGTCAGTCCTCGGGGCTTTATTGTCCTCTGTGCTCAGTGTGTTGCATCTTAACCCTCCTCAGCCATCAGGAGATCATGAAAGGCCAGGCTGCATGGGACCCTGAGCAACCTGGTCTGGTAGAAGGTGTCCCAGCCCATAGCAGGGGGTGGACCAAGATATCTTTAAGGTCTCTCCAACCCAAACCAGTCTGCGATTCTCAGAGACGTCTGCACCCTTCTCCCCATCAGATGGCCCCAACATCCCCCCTCGTTCTCTGGGCAATGGACACCAGGGACCACTCCCATGTCCTTCTGCCCCAGGAAGCCCCAGCTGGGGCGCAGGGGCACGGACAGGAGCATGCAGCTGTGGGGAGGGGGCTGTGCACACCTGGATTGGCCTCCTGACCCAGGGATTCTTGAGGCGTGACTCTGCACTGGGCTAGACATCTGAGCTGGCCTGGCCCCGGGAGCAGATGCCCACTGCCGGGACTGGTACAGCTTCCTGGCCAGATCCTGCTCGTACTGTTTAATACTGTCTTCAAGAGCTGAGGATCTGAGGAGGAGGAGGAGGAGGAGAAGGAAGAGGAGGAGGAAAAGGAAGAGGAGGAAGAGGAGATGATGGTGATGAACATCGCAGCGGACAAGCGCAGGGAAAGAAAGAAACAGATACAGGAACATACCCTGGTGAGGGGAAATATGGGTCTGACACAAGGGCAGCCTTGGTTAAACTGAGCTCCAGATCTGATCCTGCTCAACCATGGCCACTGTCAAGGCAGCAGGAACCCCCAGGGGCAATCTGGCAGCGTGCCCAGGAGCATCAGGCTCAGAGGCCCCACATCCAGAGCTGCCCTCCCCCCGGGCTGGGAGGAGACTGGGAACACCTTCAGACCCCCGGGAAAGGCTGTGAGGCAGTCACAGAGTGTGTGAGCGTGTCAGACTGAGGGGTGTGGGCAGGGGAGGGTGTGTGCCACACACGGGACAGTGTAGCACAGGTACCTGGTTCCAGGCATTTGTTGGACCATTATGGCTACACACGTGACACATGGTGTTTGCCCTGGGACACGTGTCACTGAGGGGTGAGTCCCTAAACCAGTGCGTGTGTGGGAGGAAAACTGCCAAAATGCTCATAGCCCTGGCTAGGCACCTGCCCCTCAGCTTCTACCTGTGCCTCTGGACCTCACTGTTCCCATGGCTCAAGGGCCTGGAGTGCCAGGACAAGGGGGAATGAATTCCCACTGAAAGAGGGCAGGGTTAGATGGGATATTGGGAAGAAAATCTCGGTGAGGGTGGGGAGGCCCTGGCACAGGTTGCCCAGAGAAGCTGTGGCTGCCCCATCCCTGGAAGTGTCCAAGGCCAGGTCTGGACGGGGCTTGGAGCAACCTGGGCTGGTGGGAGGTGTCCCTGCCCATGGCAGAGGGGTGGAACCAGATCAGCTTTAAGGTCCTTTCCAAACCAAACCATTCCATGACTCTATGCCAGGGGCTGTGTGTGCCCACAACAGGTGTGTAACACGGGTCTCAGGGTGTGTCCCAACAGAGCACAGGGGTGCCAGGGGGAAAAGGAGGGGCATCACACATCCTGGCAGAGCACTGATGACACAGGGAGAACAGGGAAAGCCCAAGAAGGTGCAAACTGATGGGGTCATGATTGACAGCACAGAGCAGAGAACTGGAAAGAAGCAGAAGACAGGAGATTAGAAAAGGAGGAACAAACCCTGCGGCAGTTGGAGAGAACACGGGTTAGTGGGGCTGAGCCCCGTGTGCGGGGCTGTGCAGAACCCCCCCCCACAGCACAGGGGCCTCTGGAGACAGGACCTGAGCCTGCCTGCCCTCATGGCACTCTGCCTGCTCCACAGCCAGGGAAGAGGGACCATGAGAGTACTGGATCCTCCTACGAGACCTGTCCCTCCTTGTCTCACAAAAAGGAGCACGTTATGGTGACTGACTGATTCCTGCCCAAGGCATCAGCCAGGCACTTCTCCAAGAACTGCACAAAAAGCTGCACCTCGGCATCAGAAGCAAAGCAGAGCTTAGGCCCTGGTCTGCAGAACTTAAACCCAGTAATGTAGGACCTCACAGCTCAAGCAGCTCGTCCTTACCAGGTATTCCCACCTCTGGAAGGCTCCACCTTTGCTAGCCTCTTTTTTCAATGGACAAAACACGCTTAGAAGAGAAGAGACTGAAGGTTTGGGATGAGAGATCTCTCCCCTGCCCACAGGTGCACCCTCGGTGCTCCCCACTCACTAACCCTCCTAGAGTGTCACGTGGAACTTCTCCTGCGCCCTGAGCAATTCCAGCCAAATCCCAGCTGGCCCAAGAGCACGGTCAGATGGACAGTAATGTTACAGGAGCAAATCGTGTCCTAAAACCATCCTGCCCCCTCCCAGCATTTTTCAGGTTTATCTGCTGGCAACACCAAGTTCCTGGAAGAGCAGAGACCCAAGATCAGAGCTGCACAACTGGGACATGAGCAGTGTCCCTGCAGGGACTCTGCCTCCAGAGGTCTGTGCAGGCAACGTCCTGTTTCTCCTTTTGACACCCATCTCAAGAAAAGCTTCTATTACAGCATTCCTTGGATATATTCATGCTTAGGCACGAATCAGAGCTGACGGACCTCACAAAAGCTGCCCCTTCGTGTGGGGAATGCGCCTGGGAAATGGAGGCACAAGGGAGTGAAACTCCTGCAAGTCTCCCTGGGAAGAGATGGCAAATCAGGCCCTACCCCTCTCCAAGCACAGGGATGTGGATTTCCAGGAGAAGCTTGACAGGCAGTTTCTGATTTGTTGGCTTAAATACAAGAGTGAAGCTTTTTTCTTAGGTCCAAAGACTGAGTACAATTCTGTGCAGGTTGTCTGCTCCTGGGGACGCTGTGGTGCTCACACAGCATCACACTGATGGCTGCTTTTGGCACCATTCCACACTCACCCCCTTCCCGGAGACAGATGTGTGATTCCAGCCCTCTCGGAGCACCTGCAGCACAAGGGACTTGGTGGTCTCTGCAACCTCATAAGGAAGGATATGGCAGAGCAGGACAGTCCCTAAAGGGGCTCCAAGAGAGCTGGAGGACAAGGACCTGGAGTGACAGGACAAAGGGGACGCGCTTCCCACTGACAGAGGGCAGGGTTAGGTGGGATACTGGGAAGAAATTGTTCCCTGTGAGGGGGTGAGGTCCTGCCACAGGTTGCCCAGAGAAGCTGTGGCTGCCCCATCCCTGCAAGTGTTCCAGGCCAGGTTGGACGGGGCTTGGAGCAACCTGGGGTAGTGGAAGGTGTCCCTGCCCGTGGCAGGGGGTGGGACTGGGTGGTCTTGAAGGTCACTTCCCACCTAAACCATCTTGGGATTCTATGAAAACTAATCTCAAAGAAAATTTGCACAGAGAAGCTTGTACCCTCAAAGCCCTGGAACAGCAGTCCAGCTCTGACTGAGGATTCACTTGGCACTTCTCCATTCCTGGAGCCTCCCCAGCAGCAACAGCCCTGTGATCATCCATGTCTAAGCACAAACACTGGAATTGCTAAGTGGAATCACAACTCATGGTTATCCTTCCAGTATCTTATCTAGCAGCCCTGTTCCTCTTCAAGCCTCATCCAACCCCAAAAGACAGTTCAGACTGTCCTTTGAATGTCTCCTACAGGAACATCAGGGAAAGAAAACTATTGTTAGTTATGGGAGCAGCCTGACTAATCTTTGGAAGGAATTCTATGCCATAGTAAATGCCTGGACTAGCTTCAAGTCTTAGGTTCTGAGCTAGGAAGAATTTTTAATCACTCTTTCATGCTGATGGAATAGCTTGTGGGGGTAAAAATGGCCTCATCCTACCAATGTTTTGGCTGCAGCAAGTTTTCCAGCCCAGCACCACTGGATATGTGGAATCCCATTTTTCATTTTGAATATGTGACCTTGCAGCTTCAATAACACGACTGCACACGGGTGACACGGGAGGTGGGAACTGTGTGCTGAGGGAAGGAACAGGCCCACCATCGTTCACAGGTGTGTTCATGTTTGTCATGAACTCCCCTGTGTCCACGAATGTGCAAGCACTCTGGGAATCTGGGAGCCCCCTGGAAGCAGACAAGCTCAGCTCAGCTCAGCGGGTGCTTTGCATGGCTTGAACCGATCCTTCATAACCTCCCTCAACACCTGCCTTTGGAAGGGTCCTCTCTTCCCTAGTTTTGTTCCCCGTAAGCCCCAGACACGCAGCAGCTCCCGCTCTGTGCTCAGCCCGGCGCGGAGGCAGCGGAGGCTATGGCTCACCGTGCTGCCCTCCACATAGCCCGTTTCTCAGCCTCCAGTGCCCGGCGCTCCGCTGGAGACAGCTCCTTCTCCTTCTCCTGCCCGCTCAGCAGCTCCGGGCTCTGCATCCGCAGCCGCTCCTGGTGCCGCCGCTCGGCCTTGGCCGTCCGCACCGGAGCGCCGGGATCCCCCGGGAACGACGGGCTCAGCCTGGGCAGGGAGAGGAGGGGTGAGAGGGAGGGTGGCGGAGTCCACCCAGCTCACCTGCCTGAGTGACACCCCAATCACCTGTTGGGTGCCACATCCACGGGTATCACCCTGGGAGGACACAGGACACACGGAGTTTCTCATAAGGAGTTTCAGGTTAGATGGGGCTTGGACCAACTGCCCTTGGCAATCCCCACATGGGGTTGGAACCAGGTGGTCTTGAAGGTCTCTCCAACCCAACCCATCCTGGGATTCTATGAAGTTGGTCTCAATCAGTTTCCCTCTCTCCACCAAATCCTTCCTTTGCAGCCTCTGGCTGCTAAAAAGCAGGAATTATCCAGTCCCTGCCCCAGCAGCCCCACTCACCCTGACATGGAGTTGGTTCTCTGCTCAGGCTTGATCCCCTCTTCCAGAGAATTCCTCTGCAAGCTGCTGTTCTCACTGAGCTCCGAGGGCCTGGAGAAAACAACCCTGTGAGCTGCAGCACCAGAGGGTGCACACCTAGAGAGGGTGGGACAGGTCCACACCCAGAAAGCAACAAATGGTTCAGGGTGAAGTCACAGCCCTCCATGGCTTTGCTCAGCAGCTCCTCCACCATTGCTGTGAGCATTCCCATGGGGATCTCCTACTAAATGTCCACACTAACATCAGAGCTCATTTCCTGCAGCTGGAGGTCAGCCAGCCACTAACAGACACACACAGAATTTTTGCCTCAGTTTTTTTAATAAAAGTATTTGTTGGGCTTTCTTTTCCTCTGGATCTCTCCCTTAAGTCCCGGGAGCTTGGACTTCACACTTGGCTTTGTAAGATGTGGCACAAAGGTATTCCAAACAGAGGAGTCCAAGAGAGATTCACCTTGGAAGCACTGGTCACCTGATCCTGATTCTATACCTTCATTAACAGACAGATTTGATATATTTTAAATTCTTCCACGAGATGGGCCACAGAGCTGCTCTGAGAGCTGGAACCCCTCTGCTTTGGAGCCAGGCTGGTAGAGCTGGGGGCGTTCAGTTTATCGTGACACTCAGCCCTGATTTTTACTGCTCAAGTTTATTTTGGTTAAATTTCAGTTTCTGTTCTAGCATGAGAAAAATTATTTCAAGAAACACAAATTCAGCCTCTTCCACTGTCTCCCCCATATTCAAGCGTAAATAATAAGCAACTGACAATCATCCGATGGATCCAGCCTTCCTGTACTTTGGCCTCCTACGTTTCAATATGAAAATGGGGGGGTAAGTGGGACTTCCCAAAAAACCAAGGAGCAGCACATGCCTCAGCACAGGAGGGGGAAGTCTCATGACATCATCGTGTGAGAAGTTCCTGAACTGAGACTGGGCAGAAACAACAGAGAGAAATGAGATTCCACGTACCAGGGTCAATGTGTTCAGCCACTGTGACTGGGAAGTGTTTGTGGAGAGGAGAATGTCTGTTCCAAAGACTCCAAAGAGAGATAAGGACGGCTTCAGCTTCACTCTAGTGCAGCCTTATTTTATCTGGAGCCTTTGAGAACCCTTTTCTCATTCCTCAGTTCTGTGCCCAAGAATTAGAAAAATACCTTCAAGACAATGTGGAGGCCAAGCCCCAGAGAACTGGGAAACAAAAGCCTAAAAAACCCCCAACTTGGTTCAGCATTCAGCTTATCTTGAATCATCTGTCTCTAAAAATCAACCTCTCTACACACCCTCTGGCATAGCTGAAGGAGCTGTTCCCTGAAAAGACAGAGCTGGGAAGTTGTCCCTTTCTGTGCTGAAGAAGAAATCCGGCCCACTCTCTTCCTTGAGAATTCCTGGGATGCCTCTGACACGTGTAGGTGGTACAGGGCTACTTGTAGTCCTGTCTTACCGAGCTGCTGGAGCCTGGATGCTCCTTCCATTCAGCCTCTCGACCTTGTACTCAACACCCTCGATGATGATGCTGGACTGCACGGCCTCGGGCACCTGCCTCACCTCCTCCTCCTCCTCCTCGGCCTCCTCCTCCAACAGAAGGGCTCGCTGCTGCTGCAGCTTGCGGGCTGCCAAGGGAGACAGGAGACAGCTTACACCACAGAGCACTCGCTGAACCCCCAGGGGTGGGACCTCTGGGCAGGGCCTTACACTGAACCCCCAACGATAGGAGCCCTGGGCAGGGCCTTACACTGAACCCCCAACAATGGGAGCCCTGGGCAGGGCCTTACACTGAACCCCCAACAATGGGAGCCCTGGGCAGGGCCTTACACTGAACCCCCAACAATGGGAGCCTGGGCAGGGCCTTACACTGAACCCCCAATGATGGGACCTCTGGGCAGGGCCTTACACTGAACCCCCAACAATGGGAGCCCTGGGCAGGGCCTTACACTGAACCCCCAATGATGGGACCTCTGGGCAGGGCCTTACACTGAACCCCCAACAATGGGAGCCCTGGGCAGGGCCTTACACTGAACCCTTCAGCGATAGGAGCCCTGGGCAGGGCCTTACACTGAACCCTTCAGCGATAGGAGCCCTGGGCAGGGCCTTACACTGAACCCTTCAGCGATAGGAGCCCTGGGCAGGGCCTTACACTGAACCCCCAACGATGGGAGCCCTGGGCAGGGCCTTACACTGAACCCCCAACGATGGGACCTCTGGGCAGGGCCTTACACTGAACCCCCAATGATGGGAGCCCTGGGCAGGGCCTTACACTGAACCCTTCAGCGATGGGAGCCCTGGGCAGGGCCTTACACTGAACCCTTCAGTGATGGGACCTCTGGGCAGGGCCTTACACTGAACCCCCAACGATGGGACCTCTGGGCAGGGCCTTACACTGAACCCTTCAGCGATAGGACCTCTGGGCAGGGCCTTACACTGAACCCCCAACAATGGGATCTCTGGGCAGGGCCTTACACTGAACCCCCAACAATGGGATCTCTGGGCAGGGCCTTACACTGAACCCCTCAACGACAGGACACCTGGGCAGGTCCTTAAGCTCCCCATCACTCCAAGTCTGTGCTGGTTTCAGTCCATTCCCTCTCAGTGGACACCTTTGTTCTTCCACCATTCCACCAATGCTTCAGATGGAACAAACTCTACAGTATTCCCTCAGTCCCTCCTTCCTTATCCACCAAACTTCCATTCTTGGACACTCTGTGGGCAGATTTCCAGCAGCTTCTCATGTCCAATGTTCCCATCCTCAAACTGAAAGTTGGGTACAGACTCTTCTGCCCCTTCCTCCGAGAAAACAGTCCTGGGAATCTGCATCTTCCCACTGGCCTCCTGAAGGGACCAAGGCCTGGGGTCCTGGTGATGGGCCCTACACATAGCAGTGGCCCTGGGAACATATGGGTCATGAGAGGGTCAGAGACAGAAGGAGGCAGAGAGCAGAGGGCAGATGTCCCGCAGGTGACCAGTCCCCAGGGGTGTTCCTCAGGGCTTAGCCTCGGGGCCAGTTCTGGGCAAGATTTTTATTAATACTTCTATCTGGCTGCAGGAGCAGAATGCACCAGTAACACTTTGCTGATTATGCCAAACTGAGAGGTGCCCTCAAGGGCTATGAGGCCTTGCAGAGGGATCCAGACAGGTTGGAGCATTGAGCAACCATTAATGGCATGAAATTTAACAAGGGCAAATGCCAGGTTCTGCACCTGGGACAGAGCAATGCTAGGCCCAGGTCTAATTTCAAGAGGAGTAGCTGGAGAATTCAGTAAAAGCCCTTTTTTCCACTTCACACTGTTCCTCATCACCTCCTAAAACAACTCTTAAGCAGGAGGAATGACATAAAAAAACAGAGCAGCAATTTACCTCCTACTGCAAACCCAGAGCAGCATGGTGAGCACTGAGAGCTCCAAGAGCTCTGCTGCCAGTCCTGTGTGAGGCTGCCACAGTGCCACGGTGCTGCTCATCTGGGCAGCTGGCACAGACTTATTGTCTGGAGTGGCTTCAAAAATGTTACTGAAGTGTTTACCAACTGCAGACAGGGACCTGCTGGAGTGAGTCCGGAGGAGGGACATGGAAATGCTCTGAGGGCTGGAGCCCCTCTGCTCTGGAGCCAGGCTGGGAGAGCTGGGGGTGTTCACCTGGAGAAGAGAAGGCTCCAGGGAGAGCTGAGAGCCCCTTCCAGAGCCTAAAGGGGCTCCAGGAGAGCTGGAGAGGGACTGGGGACAAGGGCCTGGAGTGACAGGGAAAAGGTCAATGGCTTCCCACAGACAGAGGGCAGGGTTAGATGGGATACTGGGAAGGAATTCTTCCATGTGAGGATGGTGAGGCCCTGGCACAGGTTGCCCAGAGAAACTGTGGCTGCCCCATCCATGGAAGTGTTCGAGGACAGGGCTTGGAGCAAACTTGGGGATAGTGGAAGGTGTCCCTGTCCATGGCAGGGGGTGGGAATGGGTGGGCTTTAAGGCCCTCCAACCCAAACCATCCTGGGATTCTGTGATACACGACACCCTGACACTAGAGCACTTCCAGTAGCCCACACAGTCTCAGTTTAGCATCCACAGAACTCCTCAACATTCACTCACTTCAAATTATTCCCAGGCCTTTTAATAACCACCCATGGGCTTCTCTTCTGGAAGTGCTGCATTTCCATGGGAAAGGAATCACTCAACAGGCCAAATTTCCGTGCACAGATTCCAACATACCTTCTTCCTCCTTCATTTTCTTCAGGTCATCCTCCCCCACCAAGGACACACGCTTGGGAGGCTTGTCCAGGTGCTGCTGCTTCACTTCAATCTCAAAATACTTCTGCCTCTCACGGAAGGACCTTTGCTCGGGGCTGTGCTGTCCCCCGGGCCTGTGCACGGCCTCCTGCGAGAGCCACACCACAGCCCATGGGCCCCCCCACCACACCACTGCCCGTGGGCCCCCCACCACACCACAGCCCATGGGCCCCCCACCACACCACAGCCCATGGGCCCCCCGCCACACCACAGCCCATGGGCCCCCCCAGCCACACCACCACAGCCCATGGGCCCCCAGCCACACCACAGCCCATGGGCCCCCAGCCACACCACAGCCCACCCCCCCAGCCCATGGGCCCCCCCACCACCCACAGCCCATGGGCCCCCCGCCACACCACAGCCATGGGCCCCCCAGCCCACCACCACATGGGCCCCCCCAGCAGGGCCCCCAGCCACTCGCCCATGGGCCCCCCCACCACACCACCAGCCCATGGGCCCCCCACCACACCACAGCCCATGGCCCCCCAGCCACACCACAGCCCATGGGCCCCCACCACACCACCACAGCCCATGGGCCCCCCCAGCCACACCACAGCCCATGGGCCCCCAGCCACACCACCACAGCCCATGGGCCCCCAGCCACACCACTGCCCACAGGCCCCCCAGCCACACCACAGCCCATGGGCCCCCAGCCACACCACTGCCCACAGGCCCCCCAGCCACACCATTGCCCCCAAGCCACACCATTCCTCCCCAGCCCCCCCATGCTGTGAGCCCATCTCCTCATCACAGCCCCCACATCCTCCTGATTCCCACCCTCTTTCCAGCCCTAGCCCCAAAACTCACCTCCGAGGCCATTTTGGTGTTCTCTGTGCTGCTCTGACCAGACAATTCCTAAGGACAGAGAGAAACAGGCACATTTTAAAAGGAAAGTTTCCACCCACCCCCATCTTCCAGCCATGTGAGCTGACGGAGGCTCCCAAAACAGTCCCGCAATTCGCACAGAATTAACAAGTCAGGCTCAGCGATAGTCAGGAATGAGGATTTACATTAAACTGAGGGTTAAACAGAACCAGGTGTGACAACTTCTGAAAGAGCAGAAACTGAAAAACATGAAACAGGTGGAGAACAGGAGCAGGGGCTGAGCTGGAGCTGGAGAGAGTTCACAGGAGCTGGATGGGGCTCACTTACATCTTCCTTACATCAAAGATAAAACCACCCAAAACTTACCACTTTTACCAGGATAAAGAACAGAATATTGGATGAGTAAAACTACAGGGGGAAGAGAGGGTCCAGAGAATCACCATGTGTGACTGAGGAATCCATAGGGGTAAACTGAGAACTGCCAACAAGTTATGGAAAAGATGTAAGTTTTTTAATTAGACAAATTGAAAGGACCCACAATAAGAGAGAAGGGAGATGACCTTTGGCTTTATCCAAACACACTCCAAAAACTAACAGGAAGTTTTAATTTTGTATAATATGGAGTACAATAATAGAGAAGGGAAGGAGCTGAAAAAGGCAAAAAAAAGCTTCTAGCAAAGAAGCAAATGTCTGAAAACAGGAATTATTGCTGCTACCACAGAAGCAAAGCCAAGAGCTCAACACAAACCTGCAGGACCAGGACAATCCCTGCGCAATAACTCTGAGTGGAATGACTTGTGACAATGCCCATCTGACAAGCACGGATATTTAATGGACTTTTAATTGGGTGGAAGTTCATGCCTAAACCAATAGCTGATATATTCCTAAAAATCCAGAAGCAGGCAGAGATAAGTTGAGCAGTGGAGTTATCAGTCTATCCAAGTTCAATGGACAAATGTAATTAAACAAAAATAATTTAAGGGGACGAAAAGAATTTCCCTCAATAATGCAAACTGCCAGGTGATCTCCCGCAGGAGCAGAAGTTGTTCCTCAACCCGTGATGCATCAGCTGGAGATGGTGATGCTGGAAACACTTCTGTGCACAAGGCACACCTGACCATGAGCTTGGGTCACCTGGGGGATGGCAGATGCCAACAGAGACCAGGTCCACCTCCTGTTCATCCTGCTTTGCTACATCTTCCCTGAGGTTGTCTGACAGTCATTAACTCTGAGGAAATCAGTCAATAAAGCTAAAATGGACAAAAATCAAGCCTACAAACAGCAGAGACAGACTGTGACCCCTCTTGATGTACCAAACCAGATCAAGGTGAGGGCAGGTGAGGACAAGGGACATGGGAGGGCACAAAGTGGCTGTCACAAGTCATTGCAGGACAGCCACAGCTTCCAGCATGAACATGGAAAAGGAAAGGAAGGGAATGGAGAGGAGGGAAAGAAGAGAAAGGAAAGGAAATGAAGAAGCAACACCCCAGTAGAAAGCCATCTGTGAAACAGGATCTCATTTGCAGCAAGAATGTGCCAGCAAGAAGACAGGAACAGGGAAAAGGGAAGCAGTGAGGTGATCCCGAGAGCAGAGGGCCCTGAAGCGCCAAAGGGGTTCTGCCACAGGGTTCTGCTCCTTTAGTAAACGACTGTCCCTGTCAGACAGCTCCAGAGCTCTCACCCAGCTGGAGCTGGCATGCACGGACACGGCTCCTCAGGAAGGATGGGCAGGGAGGACGGCATGGGAGGGGAGGCAGCAGGCTCAGGGCACCTCGAGGGCAGCGAGCCCAGACTGGGGCTCCCCGGGATGTGGAGGACACCAACAAACCACACCACATCAAGGGGATGCCAGCAAAATGGCACAGGGGTTGCAGGAGGTGACATTTGAGAACAGGCTCAGAGGGCTGTGCTTGTTCAGCCTGGAAGAGGAGGCTCAGGGGAGGGGGATCGAATTCCTGCATCCCTAGAGGAGTTACAGAGCCAAGGTCAGGCTCCTCAGAGATGTCCAGCAAGGGATAAGCAGAAGACATAATCTGTGGTAAAAGTAATTCAATAAAACAGAAAAAAACCTCTTCACAGCAGAGTGCCCACAGTGTCCTCAGAATCTCTGATTTTGGGAATTCAGAACTCAAGGGGATGGGCCTGAGCAACCTCTTACAACTTTGGATGCATTTGGACAATGCTCTCAGGCACATGGTGGGATTCTTGGGGGTGTCCTGTGCAGAGCCAGGAGCTGGACTTGATGACCCTTATGGGTCTCTTCCAACTCAGGACATTCCATTATTCAATGATTCTAACTTCCAAGGTTGTGCTGTTTTGCATGGGAGACTAAGGCAATGACGTCCAAGGCCTCATCTAACCTGAACCGTTCCATGATTCCGCTACATGGAGGGGAGAAAAAATAGTTCCAGTGAAGCTCAAAATCAAAACCCACTCAAAAATGGCTCAGCATAGGTTTAGCCTGGCCCTGGACTCTGGAATTTCAGAGTTCCTTTGTATGAGAACAACTTGGTTGTACATCAGCATCCCAGTGTCCAAGGAGAACAACGGTGCTGTGAGATTCCAGGACCTGATACACTCACAGACACAGATACACTCTGCAGGGTGACCATCTGCATCACGAACAGACGCCAGCTTCCACAGGACCTCAACATCCCCCTTCTCCACGGCAGCTTTCTTTGGAGGGAACAAATCACCACCTCCTTCCCTTCTCACACCTGCTCTGCTCACCCCTGTGCTGGAGCAGCCCCCCAGCAGCACGAGTTACCTGTGTCCCGAGCAGCGGGTGGGACAGGGGCACTGCTGCGAAGGTCTTGTAGGCCTGCTTGACATTGATGGGGACCTCGTCAGGGGAGGGTGGCGACGGTGGCTTTTGCTACGGGGACAGACAGGAGGTAAAGGTGAGCACAGGTGGTGTGACAAAACCCACACGGGGGAAACACAGCCCAGCTCTCGGCCTGCAGAGCCCGACGAGTGGGATACGGAAGGGAATGTGTAAGGGAACATGTAAGCCTTGCCAAGGCTGCTCCTGAGCCTTGGGCAGGAACACAAGGAGCAAAGTACTGCACATACACTACACACAGCAGCATGTGGGTCACAGCCCTGTTTTATTTCCTGGATGGTGGAGGAATGATACTTGTCGTGGCACAGATCCTCACTGACCTGACAGGAATGTTGTGATGGATCTCCTGGCCAAGGGCCACATTGCTGTCACAGTCCTTGAGGACTTCCACCCAATTCAACCAGCATGTGCCTACCTGAATCAGGGGTTTGGGGGCTGGAACAGTTACATGGTTGATTCTGAGCTCTACTAAGAGTTGAACAAGATTCCTTCTAGTGGAAGGTGTCCCTGCCCATGGCAGGGAGTGGAACAAGATGGTCTTTAAGGTCCCATCCAACCCAAACCACCCTGTGGTTCCGTGATCTGATTCAAGCATCTGTAATCTGTGAGGAGATCTGCCTTTCATCTCAAATATTTCCTTTGCAGGATTCCACTTACTCAGAAACATCTGACAAAGTCTGAGGGACTTTCCTACTGCTTGTCACTGCCTTTGCTGGTCCTTTCCTCACCCACCTTCCCCATGACTTCTCCTGCCATGTCTGGGGGGAAGCAGTTGGGGTGACCTGCTCAAAGCATCACAGAAATTAATGGGATGGGGGACAATGACACCCCAACCTTCCTTCTGCTGGAAAACAAATACTCCTTTGCTATTCATCACTCCAACCCTCCAGATGCACTAATCCAGTTCCAGGCCTTTGTACTTTTCCTTTGTTTTGGGCTGAGGCTAAAATATGTTGTTTGATCATGTTCCTTCTGCACAGGCTGAAGGACAGCACAGCGAGATCAGAAGAGACTGTAAAATGTGAACCATGGCCAATTCCATGGGTTCTGTACAGCTCTTTGTCTGCAAACCACACCTCTGGTTTGGTATCATGTCATACAAGCTCCAGTAGAGATGGAAGGGCTGGATCCATGGAATCCCAGGATGGTTTGGGTGGGAAGGGACTTAAAGCACATCCAGTCCCAGCCCCCTGCCGTGGGCAGGGACACCTTCCACTATTCCTTCCACTTCTTCTGGCATGACAAAGACCAAAACACCTGAATCTTTCTCTCCCATCAACAAATAGTCCTGGGAATATGAACTTTTCAAAAATAATAATTCTGTAAATCATAAAATCCATCAGCAGGATGATATTGGCTCTTGCTCCAAGGTGCCAGACATTGACAAAGGTTCTGTAGGATTTATGTCTCCACAGAACTTAACACCTCACAAATATGGCTCTAAACCTGTACCTGCTCTGGGGATTTTGGCCACAACAGCTTCAGCATTGCCGACTCCTGGGATGGGGAGACACGGGGCAGCTGGGGAGGCCCAGAGAAATGAGTGGGATGCACTGACCTTGCCCTGCCTGTGAGGAGTGAGGGCTCCTCCCCGGGGTACCCAGACTGGTGCATGGACACCACCAGCCTCAGCTCAGGCACGTGGTCATCAAACCACACCATCACTGCTGGGAGGGTGTCCAGCCACAACGTGGGGCACCACGGCACCCAGGGCAGGGAAATGGCTTTCAGGGAGAAACCCCAGGCCACTTACAGAGTTGTGGATCCTGAAGCATGGCTCGGGCTGCTGGAAGGGGTTGGGGCTGTCCCCCTCCTCTGCTGTGTGTGAGGCAGCGCTTTGTCGCACGCGGGACAGAGGCTGAATGACGCCGGGCTTGGTCTGCTCGTGTCAGTGCCCCAGGGAAAGGCAGAGGAAGAGGAGGGGGAGGGAGAAAGAGAGAAGAGAAATGAGCAGTTAGGGCAGCAAGGTGTCTGCCATGCAGGTGAATAAACAAATCCATGCAAATCCATGCACTCTAGCTCCATTCCTCAGCTGTGCTGCCCGCTCCAGCTACTGGACCCAGACCAGCAGGAGAGCTCCTGGGGCCAACACCAAAAGAGATTCAGCCAAGTCAGGGTCACTCAGGACCAGTGGGTTATGGAGAAGGCCACAAGGGAGCATCTGCCACACAAGAAGCAGCTACAAGGGTCAGCAGGATATGGCATGAGTGTGATGAAATTCAGAGAATGTGAGCGCTGGGGGTGGAAGTAGGGAAGCATCAGCCAGGAGTTGGGAACTGGCAGAAGCTGTAGGTGGAAGTGAACCAGACCCAGCCAGGGCTCTGACTAGAAATGCAGTTATAGGAGCTGAGGCAAGAGTCTAAGACTTGACCTAGGCATCATCATCGCTGCTGGATGCTGTGTGGAAGTGAACAGAGCATCTGACACTAAAGAGAGTGACAGCAGGAGTTGGGTAAGCCAGCAAAAACGCCAGGAGTGGAAGCTGCGAGGGGAAACGGGAATATAAGCTGCAAAAACAGTTGTGTTGGGTTTTCAAATGGATCATAATTAAGACTTGGTGCATTTGTACAAACGAGGCACAGTGGAGGACTGGAGGAAATAGAACAGGAGCCAACAGTGGAGCTGCAAGGCTGGGTGGGAGTGAGCACCCACAGGAGGAAGAGACAAGCTCCACGTGCTGGGGGATGCGCAGGGACACCACAGTCAGGTCTCAGGACAGTTGTACTCACTGATTTACTGTCATCCTGCGACGTAATGAAGTTAATGGAAGCCTGCAAACAGAAATACAGGTGTAAATCTGGAGTCCACCTTGAAAACCTTTAGTTTACCTCTGCCCCGCTGCCTGCCCTGTCTGGGGAACTCCCAGATGCCACAGAAACCCCGCCATTCCTGCTTCTTTGAGTGGGGACAGGCCAGAGCTCACCTGCCAGAGCAGCTCCTCTGCTATGCAAGGATGCCCTCAGCTCTCTGCACATCTCCAGGTTCTGACCCCAGCTCTAGGCTGGTCCTGGCCCTTGGTCACATTCCCTGGGCATATTCCCACCCTCCGCACTTGCCCCCAAGCCGGAGCAAAGCCATCCCACTGCAGGTCCTCCCCAGAAGCGCTCGCAGGTGCCATCACAGCAGCAGCTCACAGGGAGCAGCCCCTTGTGCCTCAGGTGCCACCAGGGCACTGCTTCCTCAGCGAGCCCCAGGGGAGCCCCAGAGAGCCCCGGGGGAGCCCCAGAGAGCCCCGGGGGAGCCCCAGGTCCCCGGGGGGCCGGAGCAGGGGGCGCGGGCAGCGGGAGCAGCCGGAGCAGCAGCGCACACCGCACACCAGCAGCACTTACAAAGCGGGTCTCCCTGCCGGCCAGGTGAGGGGGCCGGGGGGCTGCGGGCACCTGGAGAGGGGCATCAGCAGGGGAGAGAACGGGAGAGAAAATGGAGAGACTGGGTTTTCCGTGGGAGAGAAGCACAGAGACTGCAGCACCCGGAGCTGTCGGGGTGCCCACCATGGGGGAAGCCCCTCTGCCCTGCTCAGCACAAACAGACCCACCACAAACACCTCCTGCCTCCCCTCACCCCCTCACAGAGGTACGATGCCAACTCAGGACAAAGGATTCCATTTCCCTCAGGAATTCTCTGAAATAAGCCAATAAATTCTGGCTGGACTACAAGATGTTGAAACCAAAGAATAAACAGTAAAAATAGATGGAGCCAGAGAATTAGAGATGCAATTCCTTGGAACTTCTGCTCTGGAGGAACAAGACTCCTGAATCCTCAGAAAAGCAGAGAGCTGGGGGTGTTCAGCCTGAAGAAGGCCTTGGGGGGACCTTAAAGCCCCTTCCAGTGCCTAAAGGGACTCCAGGAGAGCTGGAGAGGGACTTTGGACAAGAGCCTGGAGTGCCAGGACAAGAGGGAATGGCTTCCCATTGAAAGAAGGCAAGGTTAGATGGGATACTGGGGAGAAATCCTTCCCTGGGAGGGTGGAGAGGCCCTGGCACAGGTTGCTCAGAGAAGCTGTGGCTGCCCCATCCCTGGAAGGGTTCAAGGCCAGGTTGGACGGGGCTTGGAGCAACCTGGGCTAGTGGGAGGTGTGCCTGTCTATGACAGGGGTGTGGAACGAGATAGTCTTGAAGGTCCCTTCCCACCCAAACCATCCTGGGAATCCATGGAAACCAATCTCAATGAAAACTGGCACTTGTGGTAAAAGGAAAACTTACAAACAGCCCAAAATAAACCCTCACCCAGTTTGCAGCTGCTGTCAGAAATGCAAATAGGTAAACACATGCAGCTGGAACAAAGTGCCTTGAAATAGTGTTGCTATAACGAATTGTATCCTCTTCTAATCTTGTTGTGTTCCTGATGGCCACTCAATTCCAAAGGATCCAAGAGCTGAGGGAGATGTGAGGCCGAGGAGTAACAGGAGATGGACTGAAGTGCTGCTCCTGCAGTTTCAGCATGTGGTCTCAGTCCTTCTCCTGAGCCCCTGTCACTGTCACCTCACCCCAAGGTAAAGCCCTTCACCTCAAGAGTCCTCTCCAGCTCTGAGAACTGAAATGGCTCCACTGAAGATCAGGGAAGTGCTAGAGCTGGTGGGGAGAGCAGCTGGACAGCTACTCCCAAACAGCTGGAGAGCAGCTGGACCCCAAAAGGAACACAACAGACCCAAAACGACTACAGACAGAGGACAAAGTACAACTTGCAGTTCACTCAAGCCCCCAGTATAAAACCCAGTTACAGGTAATGGCTGTGAAGAGAAAATTAAAAAATCCATTTAAGATCATTTAACTTCAAAAGGTTCAACTGAGCTGTGACACCTCCTGCCACAGGATGGACAGTGGGAGCAAAGACTCAGAGACTGAAAAGGAAAGATCAGAGCTGATACAATGAATAAGAACAGTGAGGGAGGACAGGTAATATTCATAAAGAAAAAATAATCAGAAGTTACAAGAAATAAAGACACTTCCCACTGCAGAAGGAAAACCTCTGAGCAAGGAGCTGTAGCAAATAATTTCCTGAGTGCAGGGTCCTTCCACTTCCTTCCCAACAGCTCACGTGGGTCACCTCCAGTGTCACACACAGATCCAGGGATCCTCTGGGAAGCACTGGGCAGCACTGGTTTACAGACCCGAGATCATTCTCCAAACCCTGACTCCTCCATTTCTTACCACATACCAGTTACCAGGGTCTCTGTATAAGGCATTGGTGAGGCCATTCCCAAAATACTGACAACTACAGGCAGTACCATTCCAGGTACTCCCCATCTCATCACCCTGGAATTAAGCCACTTCTCAGAGCTAATGACCAGCTAATCACCCTCCTAGCTCTCTGAGGCATTTTGAAGGAGGCAGCTCTTCCCTCGCTCTCTAGTTGCCTCCTGTGACAGATCCCCTCCACCTCGACAGTGTCACTGAAGGATGATAATCGCCCTCAGCTTCCTCTCCATTTCATCCCTGGAAGTGCCTCCCTGCCTTTCCCTATCACCTCTCCAGGGGGCAGTCTCACCTGTGGATTACTGGGCGAATAGGGGGTTTCACGCCTGGAATTTCCTGTCCCAGACTCGCCCACAGGAGCCTGAAAGAGAGAAGACAAAGCTCGAGAGTTACTGTATGGCAGAAGGGGGTCTGTAGAGCCCGGGAGGCATAGGACACCCTGGACATCCAGCCATGGCCCCTCCCCAGGGAGCAGGGTTAGCAGGACCCAGCAGCAGCTGGAATGTGCCAGAAACTGCCAAAAAGCGCTAGAAACAGCAAGGGAATGGCATTAAACATTGGAACTGGGATCATATCCAAACATCCTGCAAGGCCAGCTAGATCAGGTACAGCCTCTGCCTCATAGCAAGCCCTGAGAATCCTCTTCCCTGACTCCTCACAGCCCTCACAGGCAGGGTCACAGTCCAGGCAAACCTCCTGCTGTACAGACACTGAGCAAAAATAGCCATTGCCAACTGGAAGGAGACAGGAATCATCCCCAGCCACATCCATTACTATTGGCCTGCTGGTAGGACCAGTGGCATTGGAGGGACAGGGCTCTCCTCAATTCCAGAGGAACTTCTGGCACCAACACCTGGCTGAACCAGCCGACAGCCCATCCCAACAGCTGAACAGAGAGCAGAGTCCCAGGAACCACCTGCACTCTGACTGCAGGAGTGAGGAGCACGTTTCGGAAGTATTTTAGATGCCTAAAGGTGGAAGTAGGTCATTTGGGATTTAGAGAACTGTTTAGGCAAGCCTACGGTCCCAGTCACTAATATCACAGCCGCTGGTCAGTTGGTTCAAGTCAGCCTTGGGCAACAGTGTTTAATCTGACCGAGCCTGAAGTGACCTGAAGTTTATACTGGAGCACAGACTCCACTGCATGCCTTGTTCTAAGCTGACCCACCTACACACTTGAGAAAATCCCTAAAACACCTCCAAGATCAATACAGCTGGGGGCTGGGTTGGTTTTTCCTCTGTGTGGGGCTGTTCATCTGTGGCTGTTTAGCTTTTGAGACCTCCCAAAAGGCTGAGAAAGGAAGAAGGGGAAAGCAACGTAGAGCTCATCTAGAGGACGGGCTAGACCCTCTTTGGGTCTAGTCCCTGCTCTGCCAAAAGTTCCCTGTGTAACAGCAAGAATGTCAAATACAAACAGATTTCCCAGAGCAGAAAGCAAAGTTCTCCCTTGAAATCCCAGTCTCAATCTACTGAAAAGTGTCATTTGGAGGAGCAGCTCCTGGGCTGTGGATCGACCACGGCAGCTGCTCTCTGCTTGCTTTTCAGACGCCTAAGAAGGTTTGTTCAGGCCCAGGTGTGTAAGTGTGGCACCAGCACCGACCTCCCACAAGCCCTGCCAGCCCCGTGCTGCCAGCTGAGCGGGCAGGGACGCTGCTGTCCCAGCCGGACTGGGAGGGACAGCAGGGAAGTCCCAGATGTCACCGTGCCCCCTCGGGGCTCGGCAGTGCTCGCGTGGCCGTCAGCGGGGTGCATCAGTGGCCGGAGGACAACACGCTGACTGTCGGGGACCGACGGCCCCACGCGCAGTGCTGGGGGCACACGGGTTAGGGGGGCCCGGCCCACGGGCACCGTGCTGCCCAGCGCCGGGGTTTAGTAGGGGCCGGTGGCCGAGACTGTGTGAGTGCATGCCAAACACCACACGGCACACGCCGCTTGCCTTGCAGTACAGGCTGGTCTTCAGCACGCCCCCGCTGCCGTAGCCCAGGGGAGGCCCTCCCAGGCTGGCTGTGCCTGCAGCCTTGCCCCTGCGGTTGGCCACCACAAAGGGGTTCTCACTGAAGGGGATGGGCTGCGAGTCGATCAGACACTCTGGCTCTGGCGTCTCTGGAAGCTGCTCCTGGGACAAGGGACACCCTGTGGAGTCCTGCTTGTCTCTCCAGGGCTGTTCTGCCCCGCTCGTGTGCTGCTGGGGTGACGTGGGGTGCTGAGGGGGCCCAGCCACGCTGCTGCTGGTCGTGCCCGTGGGGTGCTGAGGGGGCCCAGCCACGCTGCTGCTGGTCGTGCCCGTGGGGTGCTGAGGGGGCCCAGCCACGCTGCTGCTGGTTGCACCCACTGCCGGGTCCGGGGACGCTTCCCGGCTGTCCCGTGCCAGGGGCAGGGACAGCACCGTGCAGTCACCCTCCATGCTGGAGCTGGGCTTAGTACACTGAACAGGCTGAGAGGAAAACAGAAGGATCAGACAGAAATAAAGAGAACAGAATAAAGGAGAGGAGGAAGAAAATACAGAGCAGCTGATGAAGGACAGGAGAGAGAATTCCAGCGCTAATGCCCACACACCATGCCATCCCTCTCTCCTGCTCTACCACCAATCTGTGACCCCCAGTGCCACTTCCAGGACAGGACCCCGCTGTGCACACATACCCTGGGGAGCTGACAGGCACGAGTGCTCCCTGCACTGCTCCAACTCACACACATTTCTCCTGCTGCTCTCCAGCCAAACACACTGCCAACACCTGCACAAGCACACGCCCTCCCCCTGCCCACCACAGCACACAGAATCACAGAACAGCTCGGGTTGGAAGGCACCTCTGGAGATCATTCAGTCCAACTCCCACTCCATTCACTCCCCCTGCCATGGCCCAGCCTCTGCTGTCACCTCAGCACTGCCACACAGTCACACAACACCCACCCCATGCATTTCCATCACACCTGTACAGCTGAACATGCTTTTATGGCCCCACTGCATCACAACACACCCAAAGTACCAGAGCTCAGTACAGCTGATGGAGCACAGACCCCTTGGGCGGCTCTTGCTGATGGTAGGACTGAGGCAGCCTCAGTTCTGCCAGGGCTTGCACCCAGCCCAGATGAAGCCCTGACCCTTCCCCTTAATGCCACAGAAGAGAATTTGTTACCCCAGCCAGAGCCTTCCTCAAGGGAGCAGAGAAAAGCAAAGACCAAACCTTCCATCCAAGTGCCTCCGGGGAGCAGAAAGACCTCTCCTGTTCAGAGCACATTCTCCAGCTCCTGTGTCATGGCAGTGGTCACCAAAATAGCTCTCAAGGGTGGGCTGGTGACTACAATGGCAGCTGGGAGGTTCAGGAATTTCGGAGGCCCTCCCCTAACCCCCCAACCCAAGCTCTGTGGCTGGCAGAGCCCTGGCTCATATCGTGTTTCCTGGGCAGCAAAGTCTGTGCTACCTTGAGAAATCCTGCTGTTGTGGCTATATGACTTTCCAGCGTAAAAACCCTAATTCCAACCACCTTTTCCCAGAGGGCCATCAAGTCTGAAAGTCTGTGGGGAGCCTCAATCCCTATTTTGTTCTTGGACCTGACTGGAACTGGGCAGGATCTGCCCCTTAGCTGTAAGCTCCAGCTCCCACTGTTGTGGCGTGTCCCGGTGGGGATTCCTCGCTCCCTGGCCCCACAGGAACTATTTCTGTCAGACAAGCCACAATTTCTATTTTGGGTAAGCAAAGATTTGGGCAATGCAGTGAACTTTCCCAGCCTGCAGACAGGACAAGCACGTGTTACCCTGCATCCTCCAGGGCACTGAAAGAAATCTAATCTGAAATCTGCAGAACAAATATAGAGAAAGAATCAATGGCAAGAAACCAAAGAGAAACAAATTCAGAGCAGAAAGTACAGGTTGTTAATTAACTAATCATGGTGACCTGGTACTGAGACATGTCAGTTCTTCTCCGTTTCTCATAGTTCAGAAAGCAAAATTAGACTTTAATCATTTTGCTGTGATCAGTCCCTCACGGGTCCGGCTTTCCTGTCTGCTCGATGCAGACTACAGAGACTGTAACAGCTCTTTGACTCCTGCAAGGGCACTGTCAAAGAGTCACAGAATCCCAGGATGGTTTAGGTGAGAAGGGACCTTAAAGTTCACCTCATTCCACCCCCCTGCCATGGGCAGGGACACCTTCCAGTAGACCAGGTTGCTCTAAGCCCTGTCTAATCTGGCCTTGGACACTTCCAGTGGTGGGGCAGCCACAGCTTCTATCCAGATGTTGCAGTACACTGGCTGCATGGCCAAAGAGCATCACCCAAATGAGCATTCTCATGCTGCTTCCAAAGGGAATTTTCAGTTGGCCTTCTAATAGTGGACAAACAGAACAGGTAAATCCTCAGCCTTTGTTAAATCCTGCTCACAGGGACCCAGACACAGCAACACAGATGGATCCAAGGCAGACAATCACCTGCTCCCTTCTCTGGGGGCCATTCTTGGAATCCTCATGATGAATTCCACCCTCAGTTACGGTGGTCAGGATTGATGTGCACCTCCTCTTGCTTCATTATCAGAACAAGAAAAATTCCCTGCAGCTCCATCTTGCTCCACAGCAAGGACAGGAATGGTTCCCTGCATCTCCTCCTGCCCCACAGTGAGGACAAGAACAGTTGCCTACAGCTCCTCTTGCCCCACAGGGAGGACAGGAACAGTTCCACGTAGCCCCTCGTGTCCCATGGTGAGGACAGGAACAGCTCCCTACGGCTCCTCCTATCCCACAGCACTGACAAGAACAGCTCCTTCGCAGGGAACTAAGTGTCAGTAAAAGATACCCAGACACTGTTTTTAGAGGAGAATGTATGTGGTGAGAGTTGGCCTGGAGACAGGGAGAAAGAGAAAACCACGATGGGAACGGGACAAGAGCACCAATCATCTGGATGCAGTCAGACTGTCCAGAGATGGACAACCTGTCACTGACCTGCCTGTCCTGCTGGAAAGCCCACCCTGGCTGAGTGTTCCAGCAGTCACCAAACAGGCCAGAGCAGCTCCTGAAGGACCACCAGAACCTCTGTCCCCACACCAGAACCTCCCTGTCCCCACACCAGAATCTCACTTGTCCCCACGATCCAGGCAGACGTACTTTTCCAACCAGAGCAAAGACAGGGCTGGTGACAGCTGGACAAAAGCACACATTGGCACCCATGGGCCCTTCCCTGAAGCAGGACATTTATAGATGCCGCCCATCACCCCGGCATTCCAGCACACTCAGCCCCACATTCCCATGCCAGGCGTTCCCATCTGACACAGGCTGAAGGAACAAGCTCCCAGAGGCTGCTCCGCTCTGCACCACGCTCGGACTGCCCGGCACGGAGGCAGCTGCTGCCTGGGGCTGGCTCTCCCCCTCTTCCAGCTACTGAGTTACACTCAGAGACGCTAAAAATAAACCTTTTCCTGATAATGCTTTTTTGTGTGACCAGCAGGAGGGAAACCCAAAAGCTGAGAAGTATGGGAACAAAAGGAGCCAGAGCTGGAGCCAATGCAGGGCTGTCATTGAGTGAGGCAGAAAGCAAGAGGGCCTGGAAACAGGAGGAAAGAGAACAGGAGAAGAGACCTGTTTGCGTGGAATGGGATGGAGACTGGAAAGGTAAAGAGATGATCCCAAAACAATGGAGTGGGATGATGACAGCAAAGGGAGGTCTTGCCACACCAGAAGGAAAGGAAGGAGGAGACTGAGGATGTGTGAAGGAGCAGGCAGAAGCCCAGTGGAATAGGGGTGATGCAGGGAAGATAAAAGGAAGCAAAGATGGAGAGAGGAGAATTTAAACAACACAGAAGGGAGATGAGTTTGTAATCCATAAAGTTTATGAAAACTGGAATTTCTCTTGGCCACTACATATGAGGGACTGGCAGGCAGAGCACAGGGCAGGAGCATCCACAGCTGGAGTCACGACACACAACATGATACATGAGCCACAGGGCTCAGCCACAACACACAACCACAGCCACTTTGCCTTCTGCAGGCCTGGGGGATCTTGGTTTTCATAGAATCTCAGGATGGTTTGGGTTGGAAGGGACCCTGAAGACCATCCAGTCCCATACCCTGCCATGGGCAGGGACACCTCCCATTAGACCCATTGCTCCAAGCCCTGTCCAACCTGGCCTTGAACTTCTTTTAATACTTTCAGTCTCAGCACCTTCAGCCTTTCTCCTTCCTAAACACCACCCCAAAATGGATGTACAACTGAGCTGTGCACCCAACACTGTCATCACTGTGTTGGGAAAAATCTTTCCCTCCCTCCTTGGCAGCTTTCCGGAGCCGCTTCCTTCCACAACAGATCCCTGCACTCTCCCACTCACGTCTCCTTCTCTTTCCTCTGGGCTGTTCTTTCTGCCTTGTTCCAGACTTTGTTTTTTGCAACTTTGCAAACTTTGCAACTTCTCTTCCCAAGAAGAAAAACTACCTGGCTCTTGTTCTCCTTATTTTCTTATTCCCATCTTTCTTTTGCAGCTACCTCCCATTTCAGTGCCAGAGTACCCCACAGTTCTGCTTCCCCATTTTCCTCTGCAGAGGATGCCATCACCAACCACAGCATGGCACCTTTCCTTACAGGGCAGGTTAGGAAAGGTCCACGGCCTCCCCCGCAGGGACCCCCATCTCCACAGCCCCTCACTGCCTCCCCCAGAGGGACCCCCACCTCCTCTGCCCCCCCACCCCCCCTGCCACCCCTGCAGGGCCCCCTCAGCCCCACTCACAGCACGGTTGCCTCTCTGCAGGCCACTGCTGGGCAGCGCTGCCAGGGTCCGGTAGTCCAGGCGCAGGGGTTCACTGGGGATGCTCTGGAGAGGGGAAAGAACCACAGACACCAGGAACGGGTCAGGCCCAAAGTCAACTAAGTCAAGGAGGAAGAGCAATGAAAAGGGAACCACCCCAGTAACAACCAAGGCCTTATCTCCAAACTGCAGAGTTCCCACTGCCTGGAAAAGGAGCTGGAATTGTTCCAAACACAATCTGGGGGATCCACAGCAGGGGTTGGGCTTGAGAAGCCCTGCAGAGAACATGTCACTGTGGGCTCCTGGTCACCCACTGCTGCTCACACCCCCTCACTCCTCTTGCCCTCACATCCACTCCCTCACAGGAGGGAGGAGAGTGTGCTGTACCTACCCGTTTGCTCCAAGAGCATCCAGAACAGTTCCAGTCTGGATCTGGACATGTTCAAGAGTGCAACTCTGCAATTCCTCTAGTTTCTTTTCCCAACCTTAACTCACATTCACTGTACAACTTTGTTCAATTTTGCTTCCCCTGTGTTGCCTTTCTAACCCCAAACAGAAGTCCGGGTTTCAAACCAGCCACTGTTTTCCACTGTCCCTTTCTCAATCCCTTACACATTTCTTCAGTTCTGATCTCTTCTGTTATCCCCAAAGTCACATCCTTCTAGGGAAGGGATTGGAGAACACAGGCTACAGGGAACAAACACTTTTTGGGGATTTCTCCAGCCTTCCAGTCCAGATGCAGCCCTTTTTTGGGACTCTCCAGCCCTCCTTCCGTGCTGCTCACCTCCACCTCCTCCTCAAGCTGCTGCGTGGCTGCCTCCCGCTCCCTACGCATCCGCTCCTTCCGTGGGACAGGACAGAGCCAGAGCAGAGAGACAAGAGAGAGGGAAAGAGGTCAGACATGCTGGGCAGGAACTCCCAAGGGGATAGAGGAGCAGTGCCAGCACCAGCAGAGGGGGAGCAGAAACTCAGCAAGAATCCTGGGACCAGGGAAGGAGGAGCTGGAATTCTGCACCCACATGATTATCACCAGCAGAACGGACAGGGACACCTGGGACAACATGGTCAGGCTGCCACAGTGCAGGGGAAGAGCAGAGGTCCCCAAGATCCTCAGCAGGGACAATCCTGGGGAAAGCAAAGGAAAGCACAAGCCACACAAGCACGAAGGGAGAGGAGGGGGTTGCTCACTGCTAGAAGAGACACCTTGACAGAGCAAGAGAGGTTGGAAGGGAATGGAAAAACAAATCTACAGAGCACATGCCTGGCTGTCACCAAGGAAAAAAAGGCCTAAAACCCACATGCTGCTTATAGCATCACATCTGGTGATGCAAACACATCAGGGAGGGACAGAGCAGACTCAGCACAAGGCTGGGCCCAGCACAGACCATCAGCCCACGGTCACTCAGCACCGCAGGGACACTACAGAGTGACCAGGGACTAATCCCGAAAGCCCCAGCCACGGGCTGGCTTCCAGGCTGCAAGAGGAAGGGATCAGTGTGGGACTGGTCCTAAAGACTGATTTCTGGACGCTGATACCTCTGTGCTTTGCTGCCCAGAGCTGGGGACACAGCAGCAGCATCCTTCCCTTCTCCTGCCTACGGAACCCTCCCGGCTGCTCCTCCCAAGCAGGAACCAGATAGTCCAGAAGTCCCGAGGCTGGGAGGCTGAGAGGTGGAAGGCAGCTGACAGGGAGCCAACTGAAAATTCTGCTGAGCACCTGGGCCCTTCTCTCCAACAGCTTCCACGCATCACAGACATCCAGTGTCCCCCACTGCCCCCAACCTCCACAGGAGAAGACACTAATGCTCTGGAGGATCACAACTCCCAAAGGGATATGGAGGGATAGTTAAAGTTAAGGTCTATTCTGAATCCAGTTATGCTTAGTTTTGGACAAGTTCTCTGTAGGGTGAGGGTTCCAGGTGACACTAATCTGGTGTATGACCCTTCTCTGAGGCTGTACAGGAGCACTTCTCTGAGGAATGACAGGAGCACCAGCCAGCCCAGATGGAGCTGGGGAATGCTCAAAGTCCATCTCTGACAACATATGGGAAGGATGTGGATTAAAATTAGAAAAATAACTAGAGCCACAGAGCTGGGACAGACAAATACACCAGGAATCAGTCCATGGAGACTTGGAGTTACTGATATTTCTATTAGAAACCGAATTATCAGAGAATTGAAGGCAACAGATGTCTGCAGCAAGTGGGTTTGAAAACCTCTACAGTGAGTAGAGCAAAAACCAAATTCTTCCCAGTTCTTCAGGCTGGAGACATGTTTGGTCTATTGTTCTTGTGCAGGAATCAACATGAATCATTGAAGAGTAAGAAAAGACATCCAAAAATGGTGACAGAAATTACTGAGGATGTGGCACTGAGATGGGAACTTCCTTCAGCATTCCACTGGCCCACCATGCAGTGCTGGCTCCACCACTGGGATAAATTTAATCATCAAAAACAGCTTTACAGCACAATCCCAGATTCAAGGTTTAAAAGACCCAGCAGCAAAACGTGTCTTTGCTCGTGGGCCTCAGTCCATGGATCCCGAGACCTCTGAGGAGCCTGGAGCATCCATTGCTGCCTCCTCCTGACACCCCAAAGGAAGGGGCACAAAGAAATACCAGCATTCTTAAAATGAGACATAGCCAAGGCTACTTCACCAGTCATAAAGGTTTTTCTAATTTTTTTTGGCCAAGTACTTTAAAGTAATCTCAGTATAAATTCTGGCAAAACCTTTCTTTACCTGAGCCTGGACAAATGTCACCTGCTCAGCCTGAGCAGCAGGTTGGGGCCAGACTTGGTTATTCACAGGTGTTAGAAGTACTGATACTGACCCCACATTACCTGAAGTCTCCTGGAGTTCCTGGAGTGTATTCAAATCCATATATCCATATTCAAATCCATATATCTATTTCCAAATCCATATTCAAATGCATATACTGCCAACATAAAACTGGCAGGAAAAGACTTTGCTCCAACAGAAACACAAAGAAATCAGGTTTGCTGAACCACTCTAAGTTCCTTCTCAGGTAAGGAACCAGGCGTTTTATAGGAAAAACCTAAATCTATCTGAATTGGCTCTGCTCTGGGCTGAACCAAGGGCACTGGTGAGGTCCCTCCTACCTAAATTATTCACAGAATCCCAGGATGGTTTGGGTGGGAAGGGACTTTTCAGGGTCATCTAGTCCAGCACCTGCAATGAGCAGGGAGTCTCCAACAGGATCAGGTTGAAGCTTATTCTGTAAGGTCGTTCCACTTCCATCAGAACTGCCAACCTCACCCTGCTCTTGTGGGGCAGCAAATGTGAAAAGGCTGAGAAATTGCAACTGCTGAGAGAACCCCGAGAAACATCAGGTGTGACCGAACTGGAAACCTGATGGAACACCTGCAAAATGTACACACTCATCTGCCAGAGGAGCAGATTCCCAACTGACAACACCAAAGAATTCAGCTTTCTCTCTTCCAAATGCTGACTGGATACATTACTGTTTTAGGAGGGAAACCCCAAGTCCTTGAGGGGCTCAAGTCTTCTGATCTATTTCTGGGCAATTCTACTTCTATTTCCAAGAAATTCTATCTCTATTTCTGTGCAAGGTTGAACCAGTGAGCAGAAACACAAAACTCTCACAGCAAAGCAGAGAAATGACCACGTGAACTGAGGAGCACAAAGCTGTGACTGATTAACAGCGTCACTTCTCCACTCAGGGCAGCTCTGAGCTGTGTTCTCATCTTTGCTCACAAAAGCTCTGTCAGGTCATGGGGTACTAGACAGTGAGAACTGATTAAATTTGGGACTTCCAAGCTCATTGGCCATTTTTCTCAAAGCTGCAGCTTGGCCAGGAGGCACCAGCAGGTAACAAGAATGGACTCTGAATACCATAGATGCATCACCAGAGAGGTGCATAGGGAGGCACGGCAAAGCCAGAGCAGCTGGGTAATGGAGCAGTTCTCCATGGAGAGGGAATGGCCAGAGCTGCCCATGGCACTGACAATGGGACACAGATCCAGAGCTCCCATGGCACTGACAGTGGGACACAGATCCAGAGCTGCCCATGGCACTGACAATGGGACAGAGATCCAGAGCTCCCATGGCACTGACAATGACACTGAGATCCAGAGCTCCCATGGCACTGACAATGGGACAGAGATCCAGAGCTCCCATGGCACTGACAATGGGACACAGATCCAGAGCTCCCATGGCACTGACAGTGGGACAGAGATCCAGAGCTGCCCATGGCACTGACAATGACACTGAGATCCAGAGCTCCCATGGCACTGACAGTGGGACAGAGATCCAGAGCTGCCCATGGCACTGACAACAGGACAGAGATCCAGAGCTCCCATGGCACTGACAATGACACTGAGATCCAGAGCTGCCCATGGCACTGACAATGGGACAGAGATCCAGAGATGCCCATGGCACTGACAATGGGACAGAGATCCAGAGCTCCCATGGCACTGACAGTGGGACAGAGATCCAGAGCTCCCATGGCACTGACAGTGGGACACAGATCCAGAGCTCCCATGGCACTGACAACGGGACACAGATCCAGAGCTCCCATGGCACTGACAATGACACTGAGATCCAGAGCTGCCCATGGCACTGACAGTGGGACAGAGATCCAGAGCTCCCATGGCACTGACAATGACACTGAGATCCAGAGCTCCCATGGCACTGACAACGGGACACAGATCCAGAGCTCCCATGGCACTGACAATGGGACAGAGATCCAGAGCTCCCATGGCACTGACAATGGGACACAGATCCAGAGCTCCCATGGCACTGACAATGGGACAGAGATCCAGAGCTCCCATGGCACTGACAATGGGACAGAGATCCAGAGCTGCCCATGGCACTGACAGTGGGACAGAGATCCAGAGCTCCCATGGCACTGACAGTGGGACAGAGATCCAGAGTTGCCCATGGCACTGACAGTGGGACAGAGATCCAGAGTTGCCCATGGCACTGACAGTGGGACAGAGATAACCTGTGGCACCTTCCTCAGGGCTCATGGGCTCAGCAGAGTCGCTGTCACAAACAGATTTTGCTACACAAAAAATCTCTCACCACTTTCTCCATTTCTTCTCTCTCCCACTGAGTTGCTTCTCTCACCATTTCCATCTCCTAGGAGAGAGCAGAGTTAGAGCCACCTCAACCAGTGCTCTCTCCACACCTGGAGCACCTGGAACCTCACGAAGGCACCACAGTCCCATCCTAGTGCATTCCTGATCCATGTGCTGGGACCTGCTGATCCCATGCCATGTCCAGTGCCTGTTACGTTGCAGATTCCACGCACCAAGGGAGACTAACTAGAGATTTCCAAAAACTGTTTCCACTCTCCCGGTTCAGCCAGAACACCCACCTTCTGCAGGATCTCCAGTTCCTCAGGGCTCAAATCCCGGTCAATGGAGGAGATGCTCTCTAGGCTGTTCTTGCGCCCAATGCCAGCAGCAAAAGGGTTTGCGATGATTCCTGGGGACATCTGCAAATCAAAAGGCAAATCTCACCTGGTGGAAGTCCACAGAGTGCCATTCCAAAAATTCCCTATCCCGGGCTCCCAGATATGGAGTACCAGGACAATTCCTGATTGTCAGAACCAGAACTCTTTCACAATTTGAAACCTCATTCCATAGAATCCCAGACTGGTTTGGGTTGGAAGGGACCTTAAGAACACCCAGTTCTACCCCTGTCATTTCAGCTGACAAGTGCTTGAGGATCCTGAGGTCTAAGAAAGATGAATTTAAATGGACCCAGGCACAGGAAGGGGATGAGGTGAGCGGGGATTGGGTTCATGTTCTCCTGAAGAATACAAAAGCTGACTAGCTAAGCCTTGAAAACAGAAATCTGAGAGGGCACAGGATTGCTCCAGGGAAGTGTAACCCTGGAGAAAGGCAAGTGGGGAAAGGCAAACAACAATAAAGAGCCAGACAACTGACTGTAAAGGAAATATTGGCCAAAAAAAAATGGGTACAAATAGCCTGGAGAAAGTGAGCTTGAAAACTTCATTTCAGTGCAGTGCTAGCACGGGACAATTCTGGAACCAGCAGGAACGAGACAGTCCTGAGGGACCACCGCTTTTCTGGACTGGCAACCACCTCCAGTTCATATCACAGGTCAGACTGAAATCTGGGACCTCAAAAAACATCTACAGCAAAAGGTTGGGAAAACCCAGCATTCTGTAAAGAAAGAGGAAGGATCCATGTGGGGGGACCCTGGTCTCTCCAAGGGCCACCCGCACTCCAGCCCTCACCTCGATGGCAGCTGCAGCCTTGGGGTCGAAGCCGTCACACACCAGCACGAGGAGCGCGTCGCCCACCCCTCGGAGGATCTGCACCGCTTCCGTGTGCGTCATTCCCAGCAGGCTCTGGTGGTTCACCTCCAGGATCCGCATCCCCACCTTCAGGCGGCCGTCCCGGGCCGCAGCCCCGGAGGAGCTCACCTGGAACAAAGAGGGGAGTCACCGTGTCACTGGAGAGGTGACAGAGGAGATCAGAGAGCACCATCGGGAGGACAGAGGGGAGTCACGGTGTCACTGGAGAGGTGACAGAGGAGATCAGAGAGCACAGGGACCATCGGGAGGACAGAGGGGAGTCATGGTGTCACTGGAGAGGTGACAGAGGAGATCAGAGAGCACCATCGGGAGGACAGAGGGGAGTCACGGTGTCACTGGAGAGGTGACAGAGGAGATCAGAGAGCACCATCGGGAGGACAGAGGGGAGTCACGGTGTCACTGGAGAGGTGACAGAGGAGATCAGAGAGCACAGGGACCATCGGGAGGACAGAGGGGAGTCATGGTGTCACTGGAGAGGTGACAGAGGAGATCAGAGAGCACAGGGACCATCGGGAGGACAGAGGGGAGTCACGGTGTCACTGGAGAGGTGACAGAGGAGATCAGAGAGCACCATCGGGAGGACAGAGGGGAGTCACCGTGTCACTGGAGAGGTGACAGAGGAGATCAGAGGGGACCATCGGGAGGACAGAGCGAGAGGGGACAGCACACATGGGGAACAGTGAGCCAGGGAAAGCATCTGCAAGTACTGCTGTAGACTGATGGAGAGAGCAGGGGAGGAAGAACCTGTACAGGCTGGTAGAAGAAACAGGTGTGGAAGAATCTCTTATGGGAGATAAAAGAATGTGAATTTGAAATGTGTTGTCCCAAGGAAACAAACTGCTTTGGCTTTGCCAGTGAAGTGGGTGAGAAGGAAAAGGTCTCAAATCATGATGGATCTCAGAAAGGGAAATCATTGTTTGGTGGGAGAGAGACACAATGGAAATGCAAATGAAGACAAACTAAGGAGGAAGTAGGCAGGGATCAGACATGCAAAGAGGAGGAAGAAGAAAAGCATCACTTTTGTATCTCTGTTAGTGGAAATACACAGGGAAAATCAGAGGCAGGAACTCCACTCTGGATAGGACAGATAAGAGAGGCTGAGGGGAGTAACACAGCTGAAGGGAGAGCAGAGCTGTTCAGGGCTTTGGTTCTCTGCAGGTTAAAACAACCAGTATTGCGAAAAAAGGGGAGGGAGGTGAACTAACCCTGTACTGTGGCTAAACTGTGACCCTTCCAATCCCCAAATGCTGCAATGCTGTGAGAGAGAAAACCAAACCCAATCCTTAAAAACAACCATCAGTTACAATAATCCCAGGTTTTCTTTTCCTGCTATTGCAAATGTCTCAGGTGAAAGTGCAACTGTCGCTCTAACAGAGGGAATTTAAATTCACTCTTTTAACTTTAGAACCCAGATAAAGCACTTACAGCCATGTAATGAAAAATGCTGTATGTTCCCTTGCCCTGAGTGCAGCCAATTATCAATTATCAGGGCTGACTGGCAACTATGGAGTGTCCCCAGCCAGGAGGATGATTTACATCAGTCGCTACCCCACAAGACCAGTTAAAAAGGGAACCAGTGACACCAAGGTGAACCAGAGTCTTTGAACCACAAAGGAGACCCAGAGTCTCCTTTGCCAGCAGCAAGACCCACTTATTAACATGACACCACTTATTACTGTGCTCCACTGCCAGCAAGGAAGAAGAGGTAATAAAAACTTTTTGGAAAGGGTTGGGAGGAGCATAAGCTGACGCACAGTTCAACAAGAAAACACGTGTTACTTCTGGGGGAAAAGTGATATGAGAAATAAGTGTGACACAAGCAGTCACTTACAAAGGGAACAAAGTTGCACACAGGGTGCGTGGCACAGGAGGAAAGGGGAGTAATTCCTGATGCTTCCCATGGAAGGAGGGAAGAGCTCATGAGTCGGGGGGCAGGAAGACACAGGCATGTGGGAAGCAACAGGAATGTGGGGAAAAGGAAGGATGTGTGGGTTCACGTTACAGAAAAAACGTAAGAGAGGAAACACAAGGCAAAATAAAGGCAAACAGGAAATGGAAGAAGAAATGGTGTAGCTGTTGTAGAGGAGGATATATGAAAGGACAGGGATTTGCCTCCTTGGGTGGAGGAAGAGTGTCTGGAACTGCTGCACCAGTGAAAGCAGACAGAGCACACCCAACAGATGCCCCAGGGATCACCCTTCTCCCTGGTAGCCCTCGCATGGCACCGACCTGCAGTTAATGCTCTTGGTACCTTGGAAATGAAGATGCCTTCATCGGTGGGATCAAACGGATTGCCAGCATGGCCCTTGGCTCCACCCCGGATGCTGATACCCAGCTTCTCTCCTGGAGCCTTTTCAATGCATATTTCCTGGAATCACAGAAAAGTGTTCTTGTTTCTGGGACAAGACAGTGCTGGGATAGCTGGGGGAACACTCCTCGGAGTGGCCATATTCTGAATGCCCTGAAGAGGGCCTGAATTAATCCTGTCCCTCACTTGGCAGTTTGGTCCCTTTGGTGAGGCTCTGCCCACTTCTGTTCCCTGCTCAGGTGTGGTCTTCATGGAATCTGGTCATTCTCTGATGACAGTCACCACGGGCATGGCAAGAGACCCTCACCACTCCCCCACTGGAAATACGCTTACAAGAGACTGGATCCTTCCAAAGGAGAAGGAAACTCCAACCAGGAGTCTGGTTGTGTCCCAGTCCCAGACCTCCAGCCAGGTAAGCAACGGCCTCCAGAAGTGACCCCGTGTGATTGCCCCCAGTGCTGTCCCTCAGAACCCACCTGCATGCCAGGCGGAGGCGGGTCCCTCCGGACCAGCATGGTGAGCTCCTGGGCGTTGGAGAGCAGCGCGTTCACCGCTTCCTGGTGGGTGGCGTGGCGCAGGTCGATGCCGTTCACCTCCAGGATCCTGTCCCCGACGCGGAGCCCGCTGCGCGACGCCAGCCCCCGGGGAATGACCTGCAGAGAACCGTCAGCACAACTGGAGAAGGGAATTCCATCTTTCCTTGGAGATATGACTGTGGCCCTGGGCGTCCTCCCACACCCTCCAGGCCTGTTCTGACTCCTCTCTCTGCAGCCAAAGTTCCCCAAGAGGTGACATATCTGTGAACACTGGCAAAGAATGAAGTGGGATTTGCTTTGAACTGTCATTCCGTATGTTATTCTCAGATTCCCAATTTTACCTGAACCAAACCTGTTCCAGCTTTGCCATTTTTTTGTCCATGACTGTAACCAAGACTGACAGCACCAGTACAACTCCAGCCCTCACCCAGTGCTCTCCTCTCACCCAGGGGATCTTGAGAGCTACAGAGGGACTAACCATGGCACCAAACCTCTGTTTCTGGTAAAACAAAGGAGTCAGCAAGGAAAGGCTGATATCTGTGAGCATGTGGGCAAGCAGGGATGGTGGGAAAAAGTTAGTTTGGCTTTGGGAAGAGCAAATCCTGCTCCACTGACCTGCTGAAGTGCTGCAAGAGGAACAATGGGCACGTGAAGGAAGGGATCTGGCAGGCATCACTTCTCGAATTCCAAATAGCCCTTAACAGGGTCTGAACCTTGACTCCCAGCCACAGGTGTTAGAGGAGACAGATTCGGCATCTCCATGGGACAAGAGATGTTGGGAAGCAGAAAGGGCTGGGCAGGGATGTCCTCTCCAGCATCCCTAATCCAAGGAGCATGGATGTGCAGGACTGTGAGGGAATGGCTTACAGCCAGTGACTGGCCTGTGTGCTGTCCCTGAATGGCATCAGCTGATGTCACCACTGGAACGGAACTGGGGTCGAAGGGCATTGGCCTGAGTGCAGCAGAGCAGTTCTGGGTGTCCCTGCACTCACACACTCATCCCACCAGTGATGACTGACTTTCTGCAATGCCAGCATTTTCCCACGACTCACTAAAGCCAAGAGGAGCTCAGCAATTTCAGAAGCTAACTGGGATCCCTCCAAAGAGTTTGGCAGAGATTACACAGGTTTGAGGCTTTTATGTGCCCTGAGGTGGCTCCAGCAGCAGCAGCACATCCAGGTACAACCCTTCACACATCCCCCTCCCATCCCTTTATTTCATAAATCCATCCTATACTTCTGGACTTGCATCAAAACCTTTCACCTTAACCCCAATAATCCAACAGCTCAGGGCTGGGCGGCTCTCCTGGGTCTCTACCTTGGAGATGAAGACCCCTGGCTCATGAATCCCAAAGGGATGGCTGGAATGGTCACTGCCTCCGACGATGCTGAGGCCCAGGGGACCACCCGCTTTCACCAGATGAATCTCCTTGAGGGAACAAGAAAAAGAGTCAAAGGGAATGAAGGATAGCACATACAGACCTCAAACATTAAAAAACATGGAATCAGGGGTGTTTTGACAGGTGAACACCCGCAAGACAAGTTTCCCCATGTGGGACAGTGCAGCCTGGAGAAGAGCTGGAAGGGGCTCCAAGAGAGCTGGAGAGGGACTTTGGACAAGGACCTGGAGTGACAGGACAAGGGGGAATGGCTTCACACAGAGAGAAGGCAGGGTAAGATGGGATACTGGGGAGAAATCCTTCCCTATAAGGGTGGGGAGGCCCTGGCACAGGTTGCCCAGAGAAGCTGTGGCTGCCCCATCCCTGTGGAAGTGTTCAAGGCCAGGTTGGATAGGGCTTGGAGCAACCTGGGCTAGTGGAAGGTGTCCCTGCCCATGGCAAGGGGTGCAAACGGATGGGCTTTCAGGTCCCTTGCACCCCAAGCTTTTCTATGATGACTCCTCCACGCCCCGAGAAGCCAGTGGGCCAACCCCCATCCCAACACCACTTTTCAAATGAAACCCGCTCGGGCTTGCAGTGTCCCGTATCCCCAGGCCCAGCTCACCTCGATGGGGTACTGATCCTCCAGCCCTTTGGCGAGGTGGTTCCTCTGCGGCGCGGGCGTCTCCTCGGGCGGGCTGTCCCCGGGGCCGGGGGGCGGCGGGGGGGAGTGCATGCGCACGCGGGGCGCGCCGGGCGAGGCTCCCTCGCCGGGCTGCTCCGAGCCCTCTCTCTCTACCAGCAGCACGATGGTGGGGGAGGCCGCGGTAAGCAGCGCTACGGCCTGATCATGCCTGGCTTCTGTCATGTCTACCCCATTGATCTAGAACAACCCGCAAACTCGGCGTCAGACCATCGCCCGGCACTTCCCGGCGTTCCGGCGCTCGGCCAAGCCCCCGAGGGACCCCATCCTGCTGGAACACGGCCCTGGCTCAAAGGCCTGTGCCCCTAAGCACCCTCTAACTCACCCTGCTCCCTCCTACCTGGCACGGGGACGTAGGTGCCTGCTCATCCCTGCCGGATCCCAATCCCCTTCCTAGACAGCTTTCCTGCCCCTTTCCACCTTCCCTATGCACATGGTGCCCTGCAGCACCACTGATGCTCCAGGGACCCCACGGGCCACGTGTGATGCTCCACCTCCTGCACCCCCACAAACCCAGCTGGGCCTGGGCTTTGCTGCAGCTCACCCAGGAGAACACCCAACACTCCCTGGCCTTCCATTCCAGCTTCCCACTGGGACAAGAGGCTGCAGTAAAGGAACGGGGCCAAACACCTCAACATGGGAGAAGCCAAACCAGCGATTTTCAGCCACGATGCCACAAAACATCGATGTGCTGGGGCACCTGCTGCATTGTCACCGGGCCACCTGACCTTATCAGCCACCCAAAGCCCAGACACAGGCACTGAAGGCTGACTGGACCTGTCACTGGTCACCCAGCCACTGGTGGCCACCTGTGCTGGGCAAGGTCATGGCAGCCTGGGGGAGATGATAGCTCTAAGGCATTAAAAGTGACCCCAGGTACAGTGAGACCAGGAAGCACTGAGAGCCTTTCCTACAAAATTAAAACAGCTTCCCATGAAACTCAAAGGACCAGAGGGATGCAACTGTTCTCCACAAATGTATGAGAGGCAGAAAACCAAGAGCCAAGCTGGAAGAACGCTGCCCAAAGGACAAAACTTGCCAGGAGAAAGTTGAAGCAGAAAATTAAAAGGTTTCTAGTCATTAGGTTCTGGAAAAGCTTTCCAAAATGAACGAGGACATGAAACCAGCAGCTGCCAAGATGGGGTTTGATTAGCTCATGAAATAACGTGACTGTAATAGCCACAGCAACTGGGCTTTGTAGCCCAATTCCTCACAGCCTGATTCCCAAATATCGTTACTCCCCAGCTCCTTCCCAGAGAGCAGTTCCTGCACTGAGCTGACACACACGGTCTGACAGGGTTTTGTCCAGAACCCCAAAGACACTCCCAGCACTCACCCGACAGGCCCTGTCCCCACCCACAGCCACAGGAGCTGCTCCCACTGTGACAGGGAAGGAGAACCACAAGCAGTCCTGTGCTGTGCTGGAAAATCTGAGCCCCAGGTGTCACCTCTGCTGAGGGGACTGTCCTCAGGGGACACCTCTGGCACCAACCAGAAGGATGTGAAGGCAGCAGCTGGCACACGCTCGTGGGAAGAGGAAGGATAAAAAGGACCTGGGTGGTGGCTGCTGAGCACAGGAGACAAGGCAGCAAGCAGGAAAGGTAATAAATTAACCATAAAGGTGCACAGACCTTAATGGAATGCAAGTAGCAGAGACAGGGCTTGAACACTCCTGGATGGACCATGGAAGGAATCACCCACGTTAGAGAAGTGTAACCAAACTTGGCAACCCATCCAGAGAGGTAGTGGAGATTATGAAAGGTTATCTCAGCACAGCTCTTGTGGAAAGGGCCAACTGGCTGCAGGAAGCTTTAAGGTGGGTTGTGGGAACGTGCATCACTTATTATGGAATGTTTTCCAAAAGGGAAAGGGGACTGGTCCAGGATGAAAGAGGAGGAACTAGCACAGGGAAATGCCGAGGGTGGAGAACAAGAGGCTGCTGGTCGGTGTCGCTGTGGCCAAGCCCTGGGCCTGCTCACCACATCTGCTCTGCCCTCTCCCCACATTCTGTATTTACTGTGCCACTTCATGCTCTTCTGGGTACGTGTGTGAGAGCTACTGGTAAAATTCAAGCTGGACTAGCCAGCAAGCAGGAATCCAAAAGGTGGTGAGAGCCAAGAGCTGGTCCAGAAGCTGGATGAAAGGCTCAGAGTCTGACCAAAGAGCCCCAAAGACCTCAATGCTTAGGCTGCAGGCTGGAGACCTACAGACATGAGCATTTCCCTGAGAGAGGAGGGAATGTGTGCCCATTCCACCAGCAAACCCGATGAGCTGGCAGGCAGGACCTGGGGGAAGCTGGCTGTTGTTCCTGCCCCGTGAGGACTCCCTGTGCTCAGCTGTGCACCTGTAAGGGCACTGCCCCCCTTCCTGCTTGTGTGAATCTGGGGCCAGCTGTGTCTGCAGTGTGTTCCACCTTTGGAATCTGCACTTACCCCTGCTGATGGCTGGACCTGGGAGCAGGGAAAGTGGCAGCCATGTGCCCAGAAGAGTGGGAAGGGAGGATCCCTTGGGTCCTCAAATGGTTAACAAAGGTGACACGCAGGAGAGACTCGGCCTTTGGGTTCTATTACCAGATCAAGGCCCAACAAAATAACTGAATTGGAACAAGATGACCTTTAAGATCCCTTCCAACCCAAGCCTTGCTCTGACTCTGTGACTCTACAGTGATACTCCACAGACAGACCTGCTCCAGCATCACCCGCTCTTGATTTCTCACATCCCCTCTGCTATTTTCCTGTCCTGACATGATGAGAGTGGTCAAAGGGGGTCAGACCAGAAGGGCTCAGCGGTACCTCCCTAGAACAGGGATCAGGGCACAGGACTCCCAGAGTCAGAGGTGTATTGTGTGACAGCCCTTGATGCACTTCACCCAGTAATTCTGCATTACCTGGCAATGCTGGAGCCCTCCCAGCCTTTAGGCAGCTCATTTTCCATGGCCTTTATCTAGCTAGAAAGCAAGGCCAGCCATGCAGCACAGCTTTCTGAGTGTCCAAGAGGAAGGGACAGCATCTCTGTCCTCTCCCTGCTCCACACACTTCTCTGTGTGCCAGGAAATTATATTATTCTGACAAATCTCTCAGGGATCAAACTGCCTCATCAGGACTCCACATGTCACCTACCACTGTCCTAAATCTCCCCAGAATCAGTTTTCTTTAATCTACTCCCAGTCCCATCCAAAAACACCAGATGTCCCAAGTGACTGCTCCCAATTCTGCACCTTCCCTGCTAGATTCCCAACCCACAACTCCAACTCTCTGACATTGCCCCCAGCAGCTCCCTGCCCCATGTCTTCCCCCACCAAAAGGACTCCCAAGAGACATGGGAACATGGGGAAGTTGGGGAGTGAGTGTCACTCACTGGGGAATTTTGGGGGGTGTTAACTCGGAGAGGAGACCTGGGCTGGGCTCTTCATCCATGTGCTCAAAGCTCCCTTAGGAAAGTCAAAGGAGCAATTCTGGTCCTTCCCCTGCAGAAGGGTCCAGGAGGGTTTAGAGCACAGGGGAAGAGCAGGATGCTGTGCTGTATTTGTTTTCCTAAGAAAAGAAGAATCCTTGACAAAGTGAGAGCTGAGGCCATGCCCAGGAGACCACGGCTTTGGAAATAGGCCCTGCCTGTGGGACCCATGAGCCCAGTACCTAGCGAGGGCCCTCCCCTTCCCCATGCAGGTACAGGGAACACACGCAGCCTGCACCCACACCCCAGGAATCACCGCAGCCTGGAGCCTTTCCAACAAAAATGGGCACCCACTGCTTCAAAAGGGTGCGGAAAGCAGGCTCGGAAGTTGCGGGAATAGTCCGGTGAGTGTTCTCCTGGAAAGCAGTAACCTGCTCCTGCATTAATCAGAGCTGAGCACAGGACCTGAACTGCAGCTGGTGCTCAGCACCAAACCTGTATGGCCACATTCACCTGGTACAGGTACCGAGGGGACCCCACGGGGGTGTTGGGACTAATGACAGCAAGGCCTCAGCCACACCAAAATCCAGCACAGGCCCCAAGCCTTCTAAGCCCTGAGCCCACACAACCTGCTTGGAATTCTCTGCAGGCTATTACTAGGGAATTAGATCTGCTTTTCCTACAAAGCTGCCCACAGATATAAATAGAGCTGGTGAAGGGGGGTGGAGACAGGTTTGACTTTTGACTCTGAGATTTTCTCTCTTCTTGCCACAGATAGAGCAAACCAACCCCAAATGCTGGGCCTAAGTCCTGCCTCTGTACCAGGAGCATTAAAACACAAACAAACCCAAAATAATTTAGCCTATGTGGCACCGATCAGGATCAGGGCTTGATTTTAAGAGGAGTGGGGAGCTCTAGCAGGAAGGGAGTGATGCTGTACCAGTTGAAGTCTCCTGCCAAGACACTAATGTGGGACCTGGCCCTGAGTTCCACTGAAACGTGCCCAAGCAAATACAACACAGCCCCAGCCCAGGGATAGAGCAGACAGAAGCCAGCACTGACGAGGCTGTATCAGTGTTTACTCACGCCAGCGCTGTGGTAACACGTGCTCTTACCACAGCAGCTGGGCCAGAAACCCACCACCAGCACCAGGATGCAGGAGCTTTCCCTCGGAGGCAGCATGCGAGCGTGGGAAGAGGGTCGGGAGGCTCAGGAGAGGCTCCCTGGAGGAGGGGAGCGAGGGACAGCAGGCAGAGACACGAGGTTAGAGCAGCGAGACCCGCACGGACAGGATGAGAAACGGGCCAGAGCTGTGAGTGAAGCAGGGAAGCACCGAGCTCCCCCTGCCCTGCTCCACAGCACCCTCGGGCAGACGCCTCTGCTCCGGCTCACGGGTCACGCTGACCCCACTGTGCCCAAAAAGGCTCTATCCCTTCTACTCGCCAAGGCAGAGCCCCCTCGGGCTGTCCCCCAAGCTCTGGAGGGACACCAGGCTGGGGCAGTGCTGCCATGTCACCTCTCTCCATGCCGTCCCTGGGGGAAGCACTCACACAGCCTTTGGGGAAAGGGGAGGTGTAACTGCACCCACCAACTGTCATGGACCGGGTAAAACCACCCACGTTAAATGCTCCCCCAAAAGGCTCAGGAGCTGAAAAAAGGCCTCCCAAAATCCAGCTTCAGTGCCAGAGAAGCAGCTCCTGCATGAGAGAGGGCACGGAGCTGAGTCAGCCCCTTCCCTGCACACCCACTCACCGAGATGACCCGGTCTCCGATGTGCAGGATTCCGTCCCGGTGGGCTGCACCACCCTCTGCGATCCGGGAGATGAAGATCCCCTGCAGCACAGTCAGGAGGGTCAGAGCAGCCTGGGCTTCCTCTTCACCTGGGCCTGGCTCTCCAGACCCGTTCCTGGGTGCCAGGCAGGTCCCAGCCCTCTCCCCTCCACAGACCCTTCCCCTGCCCTGGTGCTTCCCGTTTGTTCTCCACTCCACACAAACTCTCTGCTCCCAGAGCCACTGTCAGAAAAACCTTCCCGTGGCCCAGAGCCTGGAATATGTGCCAAGAGGGCAGCAGCAGGATTAGATGTCACTGGCAGAGATCGGAAGCCCCAGTCCCCCTCCTTCTCTAAAAAAAGAGGGAGAGGGACTTTGGACAAGGGCCTGGAGTGACAGAACAAGAGGGAATGGCTTCACACTGACAGAGGGCAGGGTTAGATGGGATACTGGGAAGATATTCCTCCCTATGAGGATAGTGAGGTCCTGGCACAGGTTGCCCAGAGAAGCTGTGGCTGCTCCACTCCTGGAAGTGTCCAAGGCCAGGTTGGATGGGGCTCAGAGCAAGCTGGGATAGTGGAAGGTGTCCCCACCCACGGCAGGGAGGCGGAACGAGGTGAGCTTTTAGGTCCCTTCCCACCCAATCCATTCTGGGATTCCATGATTCCCTGACATCCCTGGCTCTCAGAGTCCAACTGGCCCACCAGCCCAGGGCCAATGCTGCATACCCAGGGGTGAGGAAGACTCAGGGATGCCAGGGGATCAGGACTGACCGTGTCCCCAGCCCGGTAGGGAGTGGAGCCCTTGCCGCCGGCGATGCTGAAGCCCAGGCCCTTCTCGTTGCGCATGAGGCAGGTGGAATATCTCTCGGTGGCAGGGGCTCCCTCGGGGCGCTCGGGGAAGCGCAGCCCCCCGCGCCGCTCCCGGGGGCTGTAGTCATCCTCGGGGCGCAGCGGAGTGACGGTGATGGCGTTCTCCGGCTCCACCATCCGCTCCCGCAGCACCGTCATGGACACGGAGCTTCCCGAGCCTCGCAGCGCTTCCACGGCCACGTGATGCTCAGCACAGTGCAGGGACACGCCGTTCACCTGGGCACAGAGCAGGGACAGCCCTCACCTCACACACAGCTCCAGCCTCAGCCCCTGCAGAGCTGGGCTGGCACCCTGTTCCCACAGGTGTGCCCGCACCTCCAAGGAGCTTCCCGACACTCCCACAGCACCTGCTGCCCGTCCAAGGCCAGGGCAGCCCAGTAAAATCCCTTTCAGAGGAATGCTTCCCTCACAGGGAGCTCCAACTTCCCTACACCTGTATGAACCCTGCAGGCAACAAGCTCCTAGAAAAACACACCCACCCAGGACCATCTCCACCAATAAAACTCAGTACAACTCAGGTCGACACAACTTCTTGTTCGCCTTCCTCACACCCTGCTCCCACCCCAAAACACGCAGAGCTGTCAATGTGACAGTCCCTTGGTGTGGGAAGGGCCATGGAGCAGATCTGGAGTGTGGCACGTACAGGGGAACCAGAGGATCAGGCCCAGCCAGCCCGGGGTTGTGATAGGTAGGTTCTGCCTGACCAACCTGATCTCCTTCTATGACCAGGTGACCCACTCAGTGGGTGAGGGAAAGGCTGTGGATGTGTCTGTCTGGACTTTGGCAAAGCTTTTGATGCCGTGTCCCACAACATTCTCCTGAGAAACTGGCTGCTCGTGAGCCAGCGTGTGCCCAGGTGGGCAAGAAAACCAATGACATCTGGCCTGTACCAGCCACAGTGTGACCACAGGCCCAGGACAGTTCTTGTCCCCCTGTGCTGGCACTGCCGAGGCATCTCCAACCCTGGGTCAGTTTGGGCCCCTCACAAAAAGAAGGACACTGAGGGGCTGGAGCGTGTCCAGGAAAGAGAACAGAGCTGGGGCAGGGACTGGAGCACCAGGAGCAGCTGAGGGAGCTGGGGGAGCTCAGCCTGGAGAAAAGGAGGCTCGGGGGGGCCTTAGAGCCCCTTCCAGTACTTAACAGGGCTCCAAGAGAGGTGGAGGGGATCTTTGGACATGGGCCTGGCGCGACAGATGATGGGGGAATGGCTTCCCACTGAAAGAGGGCAGGGTTAGGTGGGATATTAGGAAGGAATTCTTCCCTGTGAGGGTGGTGAGGCACTGGAATAGGTTACCCAGAGAAGCTGCCTGTGGCCACCCCATCCCTGGAAGTGTCCAAGGCCAGGTTGGGCATGGCTTGGAGCAACCTGGTCTAGTGGAAGGTTTCCCTAGGCATGGCAGGGGGTGGAACTGGGTGGGCTTTAAGGTCCCTTCCCACCCAAACCATTCCATGATTCCACGATTCTATGAAGACAGACATGGCTCCCTGAGTAAGAAGTTATTCCACAGGGTCAACTTTTGCCCCTCCCAGGTGTGCAGAGCTCAGCCCACTGGAGATATGTTTTTTCCCACCTGCATCACACAACACTTCAGAGCTGGAAATGCAGGAGTTGTTCTGTCCTTATAAAGCAGTAAAAAATTCACGGTAACATTAATTAATCAACTATGAGCCAGAGGAATTCGGTTTTACCCTTGCACAGCTCCTGATGCTTAATTTGGCCTAAAACCTGTGTGATGCACATCTTCTCCCTCCACTCCAAGTCATCTGGAACCATTTGCTTTGTCACAGGAGCCAGGCCCTTACCTCCAGAAGCTTGTCCCCAACACGGACCCCTGCGCGAGCCGCAGGACCCTCTTCGGACACACGGGAAATAAAGATGCCCTGGAAACAAAACCACCTGTTAGAGGTCGAGCCCATTCCTCAATCCTCTGAAGTGCAGAGACCCCTCCAACCCCTCAGCTCCAGGGAGAGGGTCAGTCCCTGGCCAGTCCTGGCATGTCCCCCCCTGACGTGGGGACATAGCAGTCACATCACCACCTTCAGGAGCTGGGAAAAGGGGACAGAAACCCACTGCAGGGCTACCCCCAGGTGACACAGGGGATAGAACTTCCCCCCAGGTGACACAGAGGACAGAGACCCTATGGCAGGGCTACCCCAAGGTGACACAGGAGAACAGGGAATGACATGTTAACCCTTTTCCAGCGGGACCAGAACACGACCCAGCTGATACACTAGGTGTGGAACAACCCTGTACTCTTTGCCCTGTGAGTCCCATGCCTCAGGACACAGGTGGGAAGGAACCTGCTGCTCCCACGGCCGCTCCAGGTCGGACCAACCAGTCCCACCAGCTTCCTGCTGTGGGGGGATCCAGGGCTGCTCCCACCTGGCCCCGACACATATGGACACCCAACCTCCAGCTACAGAGAACCGGTCCCCGAAAGCAGGTGCCTCACCAGTGACACAGCTCAGGTCTTACCTCATCGTCCCCCTTATAGGGGGTGGAGCCCTTGCCCCCCGCGATGCTGATGCCCAGCCCCCCCGTCTGCCGCACGATGGTCAGTGTCAGCTGCAAGCAGAAGGGACAGTGGTTACGGGTCAGTGCGGAGCAGGGAGCGGCCACAACACCTCCAAGAGCAAGGGACGACTTTTAAAAGGATAAATAATAACCCCGAGTGGTCTGCTTGCACACTGGGTCAGCCATGGAACCTGTGCGTGAGCCGTGGCACCTCTGGGTGAGCCGTGGCACCTCTGGGTGAGTTGTGGCACCTCTGGGTGAGCCGTGGCACCTCTGGGTGAGTTGTGGCACCTCTGGGTGAGCCGTGGCACCTCTGGGTGAGCCGCGGCACCTCTGGGTGAGTTGTGGCACCTCTGGGTGAGCCGTGGCACCCGTGTCTCAGAGGCACCACTGTCACAACACATGAAACACAAACCCCTTGCTGTGGCTGAGTCCTGACCCAACAGTCAGTTTGCCCACAGTGGACACATCGGAAGGACATTCCACCACAGAGCAAACTGGGCAGCCTTGGGCTGGGACTGGATCACAGAACCAGCTGGTTCACATCACAGCCCGGCTCTACCACAGGGCTCCCTTTAGGTGTAATTCCATGTGCCACTGGGGGATTCCAGGTCACCCCGGTGTAGTGTGCAGTGACAAGGAGGGCACTTGGTCCAGAATACTCTGAATGGATACTTGGCTTTGCCGTATCGATGGAAATCAACACATGACTCCAAAAAACCCATCTGCTCTGTCCAGCGGGCTCCTTCCTCTGCCCTCCTCTGCCCCGCTGCTCAGGATCGCAGCTGAGCAATCCAGAAGTCTCTTCTCCTTCCTGCCTCCCACCTCTACATACCCAATTATGTGCATTGCCAATAGCTGGTCAAACTTGACCTGAAGCTGCTTCTATTCAGGACACCAGCATGAACCATTCACATTGCCATAGTCATGAGAAGGAAGACAGGGAGCACGTGGTAGGATACAGGAAAAGGAACAGGACAGACAGGACTCTCTCAGGGTCAAGGACCAAGGAGCTGGTAAGAGATAGAAACATGCACAGACTCCTGGTGAGAATCAAATTTGCTGTCCTCCAGATGTCACCTCTCTGGAAACAAGGCCCAGGATGGAGAGCAGCTGCTGCAGAGGAGTCGAGTGTCAGTGTCAGCTTCACGTGGCCACAGCGTGGGCAGCAAAGGGAGCAGGAGACTTGCCTTCCTTAACCCCTCCCTTCCAACCCCCCCTCACCTCTACAATGATAGAAGCAAAAGCCTGAGGAGCTTCACATTCTGCTATGTTTAAACCAAAAACCAAACCAAAAACCCACTGAAGGAAGCAAGAACCAAACTGAGGTGTGCCCTGCCAGTTCCTCGGGCACCCAGTCAACAGCACAGCAGAATGCTCTGGGATCTTCCTATGGAAATCCCCAATTCCAGACCCACTGCCAGTCTGTCATCTCCAGTGCAAGACCCAGAGACTGGGTGAATACTGGAAGACAAGGATTATCAAGGTGAGACATAAATGGGGTAGTGACGAGACAGCACTGTGTGTCCTCGACAGCCCAACTCAAACCAGCTCCAGACCAGACAAACGCTTCTTACGTGACAAAGCCTTTTAGGAACTAATGACAAAATCCACATTTTTCCTTCCAGACTCACTGGATTTCAGAAATGCTCTAAAGACTCACATTTGTGTTGTTCAAGGAGCACTCAGAAAACTCCCTCAGGTACATGGTGGGATTTTGGGATTGTCCTGTGCAGGGCCAGGAGCTGGACTTGATGACCCTGGTGGTAAGGAGATTCTGTGATTCTGTATTTAACACAAAAACTTCTGCAGACGATGGAAAACCAGGCAAGAATTACAGAATAGTCTAATAGCAGGATCCTGGTATTTCCCAGGAAGACAGCTGATGGTTCTCCTTAGTGCCTGAATCCGTGGGACAGGATCGTGACTTCTGATGAGGACTGAGGACTGTACAATGTCACTGGTCACAGAAAGTCACTTCCAGCTGCACGGGAAGCTGACTGTGTAAACTGCCTGAAAGATAAACCACAAACTCCCTGATTTCACACATTCAGGAAACCAGACCAAAAACATGGGGAAACCTGTCAGAAAAGCCAACTGGCCCGAGGGGGAAGAACCTTCTGTCCATCTGTGTATACTGAAAAGCAAAACACCAAGCAGGAACCAGACTTGTTAAAGACACTGAGAAACAGCAGCTTCAATTGGCTTCAAGTGGATGTAAATATATTTAGGCTGGAAAGAAGATTTCAAACTCCCCAGGCAAACCAGTTTTACCACAGAACCAGTGTGGTGAGGAACCGAACTGGTGGATATTTGTCTGAACTATGCAAAGAGTAACTGATGTGAATATGAACCTGAGCAGGAAGGTCTTGGATCCAGCAGCCTATAATGGCCCTTCACATTACAGGCCAGTCTGCTTCTTGCACTGAACCCAGAAGTTATTTGTTCTCCAAAGCTCCTCTGTCCTAAGGCTGCTCCACACCTGCCTGGACTGCCACGATATTGGACTGACCCTGGAGCCACAACACAGAGCTACCCCCCAACAGGGACAGCTCAGCTCCCTCTCTGCCATCGCTCTTTCCTGGGCATTTTCCTCCTTGTGTATTTTTCCCCCAGAGCTAGGGATCCACCCACAGCCCATCTCAGAGGTAACAACTGATCTGTGCTGCTCCCCACCAAAACTTGCTGCAGAAAGGACAAACCTTCATGAAGTGGGCAGCAAACCCTGAGTTCCTTGTTCCCCCAGACAGACAAGGTCCAGCCCTTCATGGAAAAATGCTGCTGTGAGAGAAGTGGGCAAATTGCAAAAGCTGCCACGACAGCCTCGAGCCGCCATCCCTCGCTGAGCTCCCACTGGGAACCCATTCACCAAAGGCACCAAACATGATCCAGGAAGCATTTCCACCTCCTCCCCTCAGTCCTGCCTGTGCCTCTCCAAGGACACATCAAGCAAGGACTGGGGCCACCTCAACCCAGTTTGCATCCAGTTTTTAGTACAGCTGTCCTTTATCACGGAATCATGGAATGGTTTGTGTGGGAAGGGACCAAAAACCAAACCACCTAGTCCCACCCTCTGCCATGGGCAGGGATGCCTTCCAGCAGACCTGGTTGCTCCAAGCCTCGCCCAACCTGCCCTCAAATGCTTCCAGAGATGGGGCAGCCCCAGCTTCTCTGTGAATGGATTCACTTGATCCTGCAAGATTTCCCACCTTTCAGGGAATAACTATACACCGCTCTGGAGGCACCAGAAGTGCTGCACAACTGGACAGACTCACTTTCCAGTAGCAGCCAGGGACACCTGGGCATTGCCCAACAGACCTGGGACAGTCCGAATTCACTGCTGTGCAACTGCCTGCTGGGGATTCCTGCGACTTGTCAGAGGCACAGCAGACACACCCCATCCCCGAGACAAAGATTGGAGCTGTTGTAATTCAGAGCTGCTGAAAGACAAAGCTCTTCCTCCACATGCACTCGTGGGCTCAAGGGCTAGAGAAGACAGCAAGTTTCTGCCAACCAGGGCATCGATTTGTAACTCACTGTACAGGGGAATGCACATAACTGGGGTCACCGTCGAGCCCCTCGTGACAAGAAAGACACGGAGGGGCTGGAGCGTGTCCAGGGAAGGGAACGGAGTTGGGGAAGGGCTGGAGAACCAGGAGCAGCTGAGGGAGATTGGGGGGCTCAGCCTGGACAAAAGGAGGCTCAGGGGGGACCTTCTGGCTCTGCAAGTCCCTGACAGGAGCGGGGAGCCAAGTGGGGGTCAGGCTCTGCTCCCAGGGAACAAGGGACAGGACTAGAGGAAGTGGTCTCAAGTTGCACCTGGGGAGGTTTAGGTCTGATATCAGGAAAATTCCTTCCCAGAAAGGCCTGTCCCAGCCTGGCACAGGCTGCCCAGGGTAGTGATGGAGTCCCCATTGCTGGAAGTGTTCAAAAAACACGGGGATGTGGCACTTGGGGACATGGTTTAGTGGTGAACATGGTAGTAGTGCTGGGTTGATGGTTGGACTTGATGATCTTAACGGTCTTTTCCAACCTTAATGATTCCATGACTCTGTGTCCAATCCCTGCATTTACAGCCCCTGAAACTTTAAATGAGACTGTGACAGTGACACAGGAAACTGCAATAAACACTTTGGATTTGTGTAGGGACAGACACGTGATGATGGACACGTATCACATGAAGGTGAGGGATCCCACTGAAACAGCAGCTGAAGAATCCACTTATAATATCATCAATAACCTTTTCAAAATTCAAAAGGACTGGACGACTTGTGCCCACGAGTCCAAACAACTGCCTGAGATCTCTGAGAGGCTTATAGAGCATTTCCAAAATTCTGGTCTCTTGCTACCCCAAGACAGTACTTACATTGTGCTGAGGGACTGAGAGACTCCAGATGCCTGTAACCATCAGCTCCTCATCCAGCGACCATTCCAGAGGAGTAACTGAGGAACAAGTGTGGCTCTTACCAGGCACAGAAATAGCTCTCATGAAAGACAGCTGAATTTTATGAAAATCAGATGCCTCAAAGCCCAAATTATTTTATTCTGACAAGACTCTAGACTTGGCTGATGAAGTGAAGATTCACTAAGCAGACTTGTGTGAAACATGGAAGCTGTGATCCAAGACCTGGCACTGGCATTGCCTGATGCTGGTTCAGGTGTGTATTGCACAAGCCAGGAACCACGTAAGAGTCATCAGGGAAGAATCATTTGGGTTCTGCCGAGATGCATCAGGCCTGATCTTACTTCAAATCAGACAGAATTGAAATAGTTCTGTATGAGAGGAGGTGGGGAGGGGGGGCAGGCCCTTTTTATCTTTTTATTCCATTAATAATTTTACAGAAGATGATTATTCCATGTTTGTAACCACAAAGGAATTAGGGATATTCAATGGAATTCAACAGGATATCTAACGCAAAAATACTTTTTAACATAAAGTTCTAGTAAATTACATAATTTATTGCCACTAAATTCTGTGGAACTGCAATGTATAAAAGGGATGGGAGAAATCAGATAACTTCATGGATGGCAGTTCCACGGTGCCTCATACA